ATAAATTATTATTTAAAATAACGTCTAACTATGTTTAGTTAGAATGAAGTAAAACAGGTAAATAAAGAAAATATCATTTAAAATGAAAGGTTTTTCGTTTAAAATGTTAATTGCTAAATTTGTAATTTTTTTTTGAAAAAGTGATCCAATTCATGTGACGCCATTTTAAGTAATATTTGTGACATTTAAAATAAAAAATTTTACATTTTAAATAAATTTTAAATCATTTAAAACAGGGATGAAAATATTTAAAATAAAGCCACCCTCATTTTAAATGTCAAATAATGTAGACTTTTGTCATGGTTGGCGTGCCATATTATGTTGTATATAACTGCGTAACACACATATATTTCAATTGAGTTATAAAGTAACATAACCTAATTTGGAGAGTGCTACTAATTACACCACCAAATTTAAAGTTCCAACTAACTTCACCATATTTTTTAAATATAAATTGTTAATTTTGACTAAAAACATACAAGGTTAATGAATGTTTCAAGTTAGCAAAAAAAAAAAAAAAATAAAGATAAATAACTGTTGTTGTCCCTATTAACTACCAACCTCATCCTTTTCCTTTTCTCAGTTCATGACTCGTCAATAACAAGTCCCGGTCAACATATATATAGGTGCCTCAAATATTAGGTGCATTGCATTACCATATTTATTCATGTAAATTAATTTGACTCTCGTCTATTAATTTAATCAGAAGTTGGTGAATAATTTTTTTTATTATGAAAATCAATTTTTCTATATAATTAGTATGCATACCTTTGTTTTACTATTGTCGAATGATTATCCCATAGCGTATTATAGACCGGAAAAGGAAAAGAAAAGATTTCGTTGAATGATGAATAGAATGAAAATGAAGGATATGATATAACTGAAAATCAAAGAATGGTCTTGGAATTTAAAGTTCCAAAAAAAATGCTTGAATACATCATGCAACTTTTGGAATTGATACGCAAATAATATTTACTATTATTATTATTATTATTACTTTATTATTATATTATTATCCTCAAATTTTTTTCCGTATTGCTATATATATCCTATATTCGTCAAATTTAAATTAATTAAGGAAAAAAAGGCAATAGCAATAAATTTTATGCAAAAACAAATACACAAAACAACAATATTGTAGATCAAGAAAACTAAATTGATTTTATTTGTTCGTTAATTTTTATTAAATTCAAAATTCATTTGCAAAAAATTTTTCACTTGTTTATAAAATACAAAGTATTTTATAATATATACATATATAACTATCATTATAATCTAAAAAGTGTTCACACTATGAATGGTGTATTTGTAAAACCATTTTTAACAACACAAGAAAAATAACATTGTTTTAATAAAAAATTTTGTTTACAAGCCATCCTGAAATGAACACCAATTTAATTTTAATAAATGAATGTTTGTAAGAATGAGAAATTTCCTTCTCAAAAAAAATAAATTTGAATCGTCCGTCATACTTTACCATAATATCAACCCTAACACGTTAAACAACAACAATTTCTTTATCCATTTCCAATATTGACATTTTTTCCTTTTATTATTATTGTTGTTGTTGTTGTTGTTGTTGTTGTTGTTGTCGTTATCATCATCATCATCACCGCCCACCACTAATGTTGTTTGTGTCTTTTGCATTTATTTCAAAGTGGAAAAGTAAGGCTCACATTCCTCACATTTAAAATCTCTCTTTAGAACGACTGAAGTGTAGAAACCCTATTTCAGCATTTTTTTCGAAAATTTTACATTTGCAATATAAAAGCACATCAATGCTAATAAATATTTCTAAACTATGGCACTGTTACGTTGTTAAGTTGTAGGTTTATGTTCTGCAAGCTTAATTCGTGATCCATCAGTGAAGGAAAGGATCTATAATACATAGTGAAATTCCGGATAAGTATCATAGTAATGGTAAAATCAATTATTATTGTAATTTTTTCCGGAAAAATTCCATATTAATATGTTTTTATTTTATAATTCATATGGAATTTCCATAATAGAGTATTTTATATACTGTCAAAGTAAATTTAAGTAAAAAAAAAGTGAACCAACATGTTTAAAAGTACTCTTACACTGAAAAATTACTTCTAGTTCTACAATATAAAGGATTGCAACATGCTTGTATCTACTAGATCAAAGGAAGGTATGAATATTATCATTGGATGCATTCAAAAATTATTAGATTTAAATTGAAATTTTCAATCTGTGATCAAAAATTATTTTATCAAGATGATCGACAATTATTAATAAAAAATATTAAAAATGCAAGTTTTTATTATATACGTCTCTTTTCTCTTTTATTAATTGTTTTGCATCAAAGAAATGAATTGAACCTTGGACTTACAAATACCAATGTTAAATGATTCTAGTATTTATGTCTTTGTTTTTTGGGTATTTCAATATTTCATTTTATTTTTTTTTTTTTTTTTATTTTTTGTTTATTTTTTCAATCTTACTACCTGGACCTAGATTGAAATTTCATATCTAATATTAAAATTCGATCTCAATCACAATCTAATAATTTTTGAAGGCACCCATTATGTTTTATGATAGTTAAATGGATTACAATAACAAATGTGTTGTTGAATAAATAAGCATCTTATTAACATGTAATATCATTAGGCGAAAAGGATTAATAATGTAATTTTATATCACATAATGAATTAGATGGTAATTACAAGTTGCAAAGTTCAATGTAAAACTTTCAACATTCTGTGAATATATTTTTTTACAAATAAAATATTCAATTCAAATGGGGGGATATAATTTTTTTGTCATTTAGATGATATTATTGATATAGAGATATTATATTTGTGTTGCTTCAAACTATAGGCACATTTTATTATTTTTGTCATTGTCATTATGATAAGTTGTGCATATAAAAATAATCTTGAAAATGATGCTAATATCATTAGATTATTTGTTCAATCTGTTCAATCTATGGATCGTCCAAATCATCTATTCGATTCTATGGATTCTACAGATTATCTGCTGAATCTGACTGATGTATTTTTTGAGAAATTACTAGACGATGGATGGAAATGATGAATGAACAGACAAAATATTTACATAATTTTTATACAAATATTATAACATTGCATATTAAAACTTACAGATGTAATATTATGATGGGAAACATTTCCTGATGCAGTAGTCTGTATTTTGTTGTGCTAATGATGATCAAAAAACTTATTGGATCTTTTAAGGAAAAAAGGAATGGGTTCATGTTGGGAAGCAAGCAAAAAAATATACAAGAAAGGGCACTCTTGGCAATTTATTGATGTATATTGTAAAGGTTTGACTGGACCTCATGCCTTATATATATATATACAGTTAAAAAATATAAATCACAAAACATATCCTATTTCTATATTTTGGAAAAAAGCCAACAATCAAAAATTTTGCTAATCTTAATCTATGCAATAAAATATTGCCAATCTACAAGATGTCAAACAACTGGAACAGAGATGTAAAATGTTCCATGTAACACCAGAAACATATGTAGGGGATAAGCCAGATATTTTTCAAGAACCACCAGTTAAACTGGTTTGCCTACTAGGCTTACAACAGAACTTTGCCTGACTCCAAAATGGCTGGTAGCTAGCACTCCATGAAGTTATAGTCGTCCCAGCAGCGCATTGTATTGGATTGACCACAATGGTTGATTATCAAAAATAATAAACATCAATAATAAATTTCATATATGCGGATTTCTTTCTTAACCATTATCACACTTCCAAAATAGTAAAAATAATAAAATTGGTAACTTTGAACCTTTACAAAAAAATTTTTTACTAATATAAATAAAAAAAAAACTCGGTGGCAGACTATTAATTAATTGAGTGTTTGGAAATACAATTGCGAAAAGATTATTCCACAGCTTACTTGGTTATTGAGCCTTTACATTTAAAGTTTATCTAAATTTCCATTGTTTATAGTAAAAAATTAATAAAATCGATAGTTTTGAAAATTTTTTTACTAATATATAAATGAAAAAAAAATCATCTACAGGCTATTACTATTATTAATTGAGTGTTCGGAAATACAATCGTGGAAAGATTATTCCCACAGCCTGCTTGGTTAATAAGCCTTTACATATTAAGGTCTATCTAATACTAAATTTCCATTGTTAAAGTTAATAAAATTGATAACTTTGAACCTTTACAAAAAAATTTTTTACTAATATAAATAAAAAAACTCTTTGTTGACAGCCTATTACTATTAATTGAGTGATACAATTTGTGGAAATATTATTCCCATAGCTTACTTGTTTATTGAGCTTTACATTTTAAAGTCTAGCTAAATTTTACAAAAAAATTTTTTACTAAAAATAAATAAAAAAAACTCACCGACAGGCTATTAATTGAGTGTTTGAAAATACAATTGCGGAAATATTAATTCCCACAGCCTACTTGGTTATTGAGCCTTTATTTTAAAGTTTATCTAATCTTCGATTATTTCACTGTAAATGTTTTGATGATTAAAAAATCCGCACATAGTAATTTTCTATGTAATAATAAATACATTAATGTTGAACTGTTTGATGATCAACCACTGTATGTAACTAACCACCTACAAGAGCCAGAGTTGTTTTACAGCTTTTTTAAAGTGTAATATTACATGTATGAATTAATTTTTCAAAAAAATATATCTAATAATCCAAACAATCTGCTTTCAATTCACAACATGCATATATATTCATTCTCATTCAAATATCTTGTTAGCTTCTCAATTAGTAAAATACCATACAAATTGATCGTTACACGATATTTACAATTATTAATTGTTTGTTATACAAATATTCAGGTGATATTTTTAAAAAAAAAAATTTATCATAAAGTTTAAAAACTTCAGCTAATACATTAAAAGATAGATTACATTTAATAAGTAATTCAAGTATTTTTTTTTCTATTATTTTTACTTGTCATTTTAAGAAATGTTTATTTATTAGTTTACAAGTTTTTTTTTGCCCAAAAAAAAAAATAGTAGTCATGTCAGATAGGTATACTCGTTTAGAAAAGTTAGGTGAAGGGACTTATGCAACAGTTTATAAAGGAAGGGATCGCAGCACAAATGAAATAGTAGCTTTAAAAGAAATACATTTGGACACCGAAGAGGGTGCACCTTCAACTGCCATTCGTGAAATTTCTTTAATGAAAGAGTTAAGACATCCGAATATTGTAAAATTACTGGATGTTATTCACACAGAAAATAAGTTGATGCTTGTTTTTGAATTCATGCATCAAGATCTTAAAAAATATATGGATACTAATGGAATAAATGGTGCATTGGATCCATTGACGATTAAACGATTCATGTATCAAATGTTATTAGGGATAGATTTTTGTCATGACAATAGGGTTTTACATCGTGATCTAAAACCTCAAAATCTTTTAATAAAAGATAATGGAAATCTTTTAAAATTAGCAGATTTTGGTTTAGCAAGAGCTTTTGGAATCCCAGTCACGACTTTTTCAAATGAAGTTGTAACACTATGGTATCGTTCACCAGATGTACTATTAGGTTCACGCACCTATTCTACCTCAATTGATATATGGTCAGCCGGTTGTATTATGGCAGAAATGTATACTGGTCGACCTTTATTTCCAGGCACAACAAATGATGATCAATTGGTAAAAATTTTCAAGACAATGGGCACACCACCGGAATCTATTTGGAAAGGTTTGATAACTTATCCTGAGCATTTGAAACGGTATCCTAATTATTCGCCACAAGATTTAAAAAAAATGATTCCAATGATTGATAATGTTGGATTGGATTTATTAAGTAAAATGTTAGTTTATGATCCTGATCAAAGAATCACAGCAAAAAATGCTTTAAATCATATTTATTTTAGTGACATTGTCATTAATCAAAATTTGCAACAACAACAACAACAACAACAACAACAACAAAGGTCTCAACCGTCTCTTCATGCATCTTTACACAATAATAATCCATATGTTAATGTCAATATGAACAATCTAAACAATCTAAACAACCTTAACAATCTAAACAATCTTAACAATCTAAACACGGTCAATCATCTGATACCTCAACGTCATCATCCTCGCCATCATCAAGCAATTCCTACCACTAATAATATGGGATTTACCAATCCAAATGGTGTTGGCGGTGGTATACCTTTACAACTGAATACAATGCCGCCACCACACGCACATGGCGTAAATGTGAATATGCAGTCGATCAACCTACAAAATTTGCAACTACTATCGTCAGCAGCAGGTGTTAACATGTCAACAGCAATACCTTTACAACAACAAAATGTTATTCGACCAATCATGACTGTACCTCCGCCTCAAATTATCCCAGCTCCATCAATGGTTCCAGTACACCAATTGTTAAATCCTCCACCTAATAGTGCGCCAGTCCCTCCACCTTTAAGGCACCCAACAAGAAGGCAACAATATGATTCATATGGTATTGATTAATATATACATACATACATATATATATATATATACAATGAACTTTTATATTAAGGATAAATATTATTATTTGTTTTTAATCTATATTTATTAAATTTTTAAATTATTTCACACGCTTTTTGATATATTATTTATTATTTATTATTTATTATTCATTATTATGCTTTTTAATATCTAATTTTTGAATATCAGAACTCTAACAAGTTAGAATCCAATTGTTATACTCCTAATGCGATATGGTTCTAGCTAAACCCATTCTTGGTTTTTATTTGTTCAAAGAATCAATTCCTTAGCCTTGTTGTGTGTGAAAAATGAAAATATATTAATATGTGGATTTACAAATTAGCCGATCAGAACTTCATATCCAAGCACCCACCCCAAGATTTTAATAGCTTCAATTTCACATACAACAGCCTCAACACAATCAAATTTTAATTTTTTTTGAGAGAATCCCATTTTACATTCAATTATTAATATATATATTGTTGGATTACTGTGAAATTTTTTATGGTGCGAGAAACCTTAAAAAGTATATTAATATACTCCCAGATTTTCTTTAATTTCAACACTGTTAATAAAATGTACAACTAGTATCAGTGATGCGGATATCCGTTTCTGCCATGCGCTATTTTACATCTAAATTTTAATCCATATAACGTTAAATTATTGTGTAAATATTATATAAAGAACAGCAATTGCAAATAATATTATTATAAAAATTAGTTGATGGATGAACACACTAGTAGAAAAACCATTTAGAGATGAAACGAAGAACAAATAAACTTATTCCGAATTGCAATTTTTTTATGAGAAAAACCTTTCATTTAATACGCAAGTCGTGCTTTCAAAAACAATAATGTTTTTTGTTTAGATTCCCGGTCAATTAATTATATAATGTCAACCTATTACTTGGTTTCCTTTTTTTTGTGTGCGTGCATGCTTCCCAATCGTACACAAGTTGTAAAAATCCCCCAAAAAAAAAAATAGAATAAATCCGATATTGATCATAAGAGTCAGATTTAATCAATCAAATCCACATAGATGCGCCAACTCGAACATGTTAGGAGGCTTTAGTCGAGTGAAAGCCTTTAACGGTCTCTTTTGACAACATACAACTCCAAGGCCTTCTGAAATTTAAAATGTCACTGGGGAAAAAGGTCAGATTAGCCTTTGTAACCAAAAAAGATAAGAATAGATGTGATGTTTTAAATATTTGAGCCTTGAAGTAAATTTTCAATATCTGCAAATTTCCAATAATCAAATATTGCATTATTAAATTGTCTAGCAGTTTTCCCGTCTTCAATAGTTACGCCGCTTTCACCTTTAAATTTAATATACAACCATCTAATATTAATAATAATAATTACGCAAAACAAATACATCAATCATTTGGTCACTATTCAAATGTTATTAATATAATTACCTAGAAGACATAGTAAATTTTTTTAATAATATTATTATTATCAAGTGCTTAAACATTCGATTGCTGCGTCCGACTTTATGTGTAATAAATGCACCCTCCATTCCAGAGGGGGGTGCACTCATAGAGGGTGAAGAAATTATTATTAACGTATGTTCGAATAATTCCAAATGAATACTAATACTAATACTAATACTACCAATACAGTAATACTAACCATTACTATTGTCACAATGATACATGCTTTTGGTTACTTATAACTTAATGAATCTGCTGCTGATCACAGCCCCAATATTTCTTTTTTAAAAAAAAATTTTAAAATATCTGTAATATCTGTAAATGTCAGTAAGGAGTGGCAGTATCGATAGTGCATTATTCATTAATACCAAAAGTGTTTTATTGTTAGGTACAAAAAAAAAAAAAAAATAGATCCATACTTTTATATTAATGTATATTTTGAGTGGTATGATGATTTCCAATTGTTATTATAATAAATAATTGAATAGCTGTAGGATCTTTTGGAGATGTGATACCGTTTCTTAATCTTGGGATAGGACTTCGACAACGTGGACATAATGTAATAATAGCAACTACATCAATTTATCGTAGATTTGTTCTAGAAAGAGGATTTGAATTTCGCACAATTGGTGTAAATTATCTTTTTTTCTTTTTGAAAAAAAAAATTATTTAAGAAAAAAATGTTGATATTTCAATTTATTTTATTTTTTAGTGGGATTTAATTGATTATATTGAAAACAATAATGAATTGAGTAAGAACAAATTATATATAAGCTTTTTGTAAATATTATAACATAATATATCAATGAAATTAATCAATTATATAGGTAACAATAAAATATTCAAATTTCCTGGATCATCAATTGCATTCAATTTCTTGAAACAAGGTTTACAAAGAAACAATTATGAGTAAGAAAACTAATTCTTGCCATTATTTTATTACTCTATCATTACTATTATGAATTAATGGAAATTCAAATGATTAAAGAGATGCAGAAAGAATGTTGAATAAGATTGAGTTTGTTATTCTTGGAATTGGTTCAATGTACATGTACCCTGAGGTATTTCTATCATATTAACATCCTATTTTACCAAGTTAAAATCATTAATGACTTAAAATTAATCAACAATCAATCAATCAACAGTTTATTAAAAATCAACTATATTATATATTTTATTAGTGTATTATAAGAGATATTCGTATAGCATATATTTGTACTTATCCCTGGTCAAGTGCACCAAAGATTACAGAAGTGAATATAAATATATATGGATTATATTTTATTAATGATAGTAATTAATATATATTAACTGAATTCAATATGTTAGGATATTTATTCATTTGATTCATTACAATGGATCCCATTTCAATTAAATTTTAAAATGCGGAAGACATTTGTAAGCATATCCATATATATATTTATAAAATTAGTTTAATTTATATTCAATATTCAAACTAAAATTACAAAAAATCTTTTTTTAAAAAAAAGGATTATCTTGTTACAGTTTGGTCTGATATGGAAAATTTACCAGTATGAATAAAATAATTAAATTTAATATTTTTTAATCTGAAATAATCATAAAATGATTTTAAAAATAATTTTTTTATATAGATCTATAACCAAAAACTTTTAGAACTTGGACTTAAATCTGTAGAAAAGTAAAGTAACTAATAATAATAACAACAACAATAATTGATTATATCTTTAAATTGATTAATATATATATATATTAGAGTTCCATGGTCATCAGGTGGTTCAATTGAAACCAATCAAATACCAGTAATACATATTTCAAATAGACATTTAATTAAAATACCACTAAATCCGTAAGTTAATGCAATGGATCATCACTCTTATTAATTTATTATTTATACTAATTTGTATTATTTTTTTTCCATAGTAAAAATATAAATGAAACGCAAATCGATTATCCATATCTAAAATACGAAAATGAATTGGATATATTTGAAGCAGATCCTGATTTAGATAAATTTCTAAATGAGGGTAGAAAGCCAATATATTTTGGATATGGAACAAATAATAATGATTTTGTGGATGAAATAGAAAGGATCAGACTTTGGTTGGAAGTTATGCAAAAATTACCCGAAAACCAAAGAGCCATATTTTGTGATGTTGGAGAGTAAGTGATTTAAATTAGATGAGGATGGCAAACTAATAATAATAATAATTTATTTTTTGACCTTTAAATTAATTTTAGTGTTGATATTCAAGAATTAAATGATGAAATATTAAACGGTAGAATATTTATTTTAAATTATTATGTCCCACATTCGTGGTTATTTCCACAATTATCATGTGTGGTATTTCATGGTGGCATAGGTACAACTCATTCTGTCATAAGAGCAGGCGTACCTTCACTAATAGTAAGCATACATTTTTCTTTTTCTATCTTTCTATAATAATAATAATAATAAATTATTATATAGGTATACAACTATCCTGAACAATCATGGTGGGCATCCATACTATATCGTCACGGTTTAACTTCTAATGCGGGATTTCATGTAAATACAGTGGATTCAGATAAAATCTACGAATCACTACTTGATGTGTTAACAGATATTGACCTGAAAAAAAGATGTGAATCTCTCGGTATGAGATTAAATAGAAAGTTGAATAAAATAGATGGCGTAACTAAGATTTTAAATTTTATAGAAGGTTACTGGGACAAAACAAATTGGGATGATTTAGATTTAAATAAGAATCACCATCTTCATAGTGATGATGATTCTAATGATAATGGTACTATTACTCCTAATAGTACAAGAAGTTTGCAAATTCAATTATAACTATATAATAAATAATGATATATATATATATATATGTATGTGCATATAATATAAATAAATAAATGATATATTGACAAAAAATAAATCCTTTTCTTCGAAATATTTAAAGTAAAATTTGACGAAATTTCTAAATCATAAATATATCTATCTGACCAGTAACTGGTGTATTTGAAAGATGAGTTTTATTAAAGTTTTCTCATTTCATCAATAATCATAATAGCAAAATATCAAAATCATAGTAATTAATTAATTGTCTTTAATTCAATTTTGTGAAGAAATAACTCTTTCTTAGTTTAGAAAGGGAAGTAACTGTCGATGGGAATAATCTAGCTTGGAATTTATTATATTTTTCTGGGTTACCAACAGAAGACTTATGTTTCCTTTAATAATGCAAGTTACAATAATCAATTAACTGATCAAATCATATTTTAAGGCTGGCAGTAACTCTCTAGTAATCGAGAGAAAAGATAAATAGAAAGCTGATCGATATAACTTTTTTTTTTCATTCATTTTGATTGTATCTACCATTTGATCAATAAATAGAATCTTGCAAGTATTTTCGATACCCTTTTTTCTCAGGTAGTCAGCAAATGATCCGCCTCAGGCCCAAATGGTTGTGAACACTCGTCACAATCACAAATTACCTTTATTTTTGTCTGATTAGACGGTGAGGACAGTTGATGTTGTTGTAATTTGACATGTATTATCACTATTTTGTATTCTTGAATTTGTAAAGGATTAATAAAATAAATAAATTACATCGTCCAAGTAACTTTTAAAGGAACCAATTGAAAAAAACACGCACAAATAAATGATTTATTTAAAATCTTTCCCAAAAATTATTTTTCCATTCAAAATCATTTCCAAAATTAAAGTTTAGGTGTCAGATTTAATAAAAATCATCCTTTCTATTCATGTGAAAGATCCCTTCTTCATATAAGCACGAGTGCATCGAGAAAATGATCCCCAAAAATTCAAAGATAGGTCAAATCTATTGGTTTATCAATTGGATCGAATTTTGTTTTAATTAAAGATTCACTGTAAATTAATAATTCTTTTTTTAATTATTGACTTGGGCACAATCTACAATATCTAAAACATTAGTTTTGAAACACCTCTGAGACTCATTATTATTATTATTCAATTACATTATATATTAATATAAATCAAATTTTTTCGAAAATCAATTTATCAAGGATATTTAAATATATATAATTTATTTCGTAACGACTTGGAATATTCGTAATTATTTCGGATAACTATTTTAGATATTCGTAATTATTTTAGACACTTGAATATTCATAATCATTTCAAACAATTGTAATATTCAAACATTTGTTATAATTACAAATAATATTTGATAATAATAAATAATTTTTAATTCCTTAATTTTCAAGTATGAGTGGTTTAACTGACTTAACATCAGAAGATGAGTCAACTCTGTTTTTATGAAGAATATGCAGGATATCTAACAACAAATTCGAACCCCCTTTTCATCTATTTTGCCAATAATTCATCAATCGTTAGCCAAAAAAAACACGATAAGAAAGGCAGGACACGTGAGAGCTTCATTTAATGACGATGGAAGTGCGAGAACACGCCAAGTTCAAGTAAAAGTGTCTTCTCAAAACCCAAACGGAATAAGTTTTTTTTCTTTTATAATAAATATAACCCATACATTTAAATCGTTTACCTTATTTTCTGATTTTTTTTTAAAAAAAAGATTTTTCCGTTTAGGTATACTGTAATTTGTTAAGTATTTACAAAATTAATGAATATCTGAAATAAACAAGTGTTTGGAATAATTACGAATATCAAAAATAATTACGAATATCAAAAATATTTACGAGTATCAAAAATAATTACGAGTATCAAAAATAACTACGAGTATCAAAAATAATTACGAGTATCAAAAATAATTACGAGTATCAAAAATAATTACGAGTATCAAAAATAATTACGAGTATTCAATCGGGGGTAGAATCACGGTCAGGAACCCTACCCAGTTCAGGACCTCCGAGGTCCTTCCGGTTCTCTTTTTTTATTATGTAAACAGGGTTTAATGTTTTCATAATTAATAGGCCTTATGTTATAGTTTATTATTATGCAAAAAACTCAGTTTTGGTTAGAGAGTCTCAGATATGGTTTTTGCTGTGAAATGTCCAATTTAACAAGTCTCCAAATAAGTGAATTAATATGACGCACCATGATTCTAATGATTAACTGGATGTGAACATTTAATAATTGGGTAGAAGCATTTGATGTTTATTTAAACTGGTTATTATACATTTATTTAAAAAATGACTTTCCCAACCCGATCCAATTATTAATGGGATACAGGAAAAAATATTAATATTAATGTATATCTTGGATATGATCTTAATCAATAAACATTTTCATTACCTTGGAATAAACCATTTAAAAAACTCCACTTATTATTATATAGAAATAAATTGAGAATTTGATCTACATGGATTAATTTGCCATTTTGGGAAATGTAAATTGTTGTACGTCATGTAATTCACAATTTGGTAATTTAAATATCAATTCATTTAATTTTTTCCTTCTCAAAAAAAAAACGAATGATCTATATGTGAGAATTCTTTATAAAGATGGTATTCTCATATTTTATCAGCGTTATTTTTCCTTCGTTATAAACAATCATAATTAAAGTAATTAAAAACAACTCTCTCATCATGGATTACTTTCCTAGTAGCAAAGATGTATTAGAAAGCATCATAAACCGTAATATAAACGAGTCTATGATCATTAATTATAGAGGAAATTTGTTTTTCGTAACCCAATACTTTCCGAAACTACCTCCCGATTTAATCCGATTCAAAAACCCAGAATTCTATGCTGAAAATACATCAGGTCAATCAAAGCCTTTCATCTTATTTCGTCAAATATTTAATGAAGAATATCGAAAGTATTATGAAAAAACTTTTATCCGTCAATTAAGCCCTTTAGCCTCCAGATCGTGGAAAGCACTAAGTCACGAGGATCAGAAGATTTTCAAGGATCTTTCAAGAGAAATCAATAAATCGAAAAGTCGAAAAATTGTAATCGACAACATAAAATACTATTCTCCCAAAGCTCGTAAAACGCGTAATTTTACACGTGTAGAAGATCTACATAGTACAAAATCGAATATAATTAAAAAATCTCGTGGTATATTTAAATAAAACATGACTTATCTTCATAAAACTATATAGAATATATCATTGGGAACTATAATTTTAACCATATGTAAAAAAATTAAAAGTTAGTCCTAAAAATAAAGACTTATATTATTAACAGAGTTCAAATTCTTGGCGAGTGTCTAATTAAGTTAGTGAATGTCTAAGTTAAACTTGCGAAATGACTGTCAAAATTGTGAAAGTTTATTTTAAGCCGTATAACTTCCATAAATACATATATATCTGTGTTGAATATTTATTTAACTTACTTAAAGTCACAAATTCATAATATTAACTTATTAATATCTATATTACATGTATATGATCTATGAAATGAGATTAACTAATTCCTTGGTTTTTATTTTATAATGGAAATTAATAGTAAAATATATATTTCGTATTTTTTATTTGTTTGTTTAAGATTCCACAATACATGCAAACTCACAATTCTTTAGAAAAATCTAAAAGAGCAAATAGTGGGTACATGCTTTGTGGCATACAAGGTTCTAAAAAATCCATATTATCATGCTATTGCAACGAAAGGAAATGTGTCGGCTGGTAATGCATTTTCATTGACATGATTGTCAAAATTTTCTTTTCCTCTTTTCCTTTGATGCTTGCTAACCTTTTTTTTATTTATTTTATATGTATATCTATTTATGTTTGGATATATTTTTCTAACCTTAATCTGGCTGATATCCAATTTTCATAATAATAATAATAATAATAATATATATAATTTTTTTTTTTTTGATGTAAATATTAACATCATATTTTTTTTTCTTCAATTATAATTTATAACATGAAAATGCTGAAATCCAAGACTTTCTAAATGATTCAAGTGACAGATAATAATTCCGTAATATCATCCATTAGTTGATGATAAACAATTATGGAATTCAGTGAAAGGTTAAAGCTAGACTCAAATTTTTCATTCGATGAAATGGAACTGCAAAACCAATCCTAGGAAAAAAATGATAGAAATAATTCAGCCTTAAAATATTGTTGACTTTCCACTAAATCAAAACTTAATTAGTAAAGAATAGCCTAATTGGTGGAATGGGGAAGAATGTATTGATGGGGGTGAAGACGACGATAAAGAAGACATCCTTTTTGTTATTTAATCCTTTCCTTGGATGTGACATACCTTTGTTTTCATATCTTGTGTCATATCTGTTAAAAATGCTTATTTTGATTATGATAATTTTCTTAAATTTATAATCTAATACCCAAGTAATAATAATACTAGGACCATGCATAGACGAATCATATTAAATCTATAATAATTGGTGAAAATTGGATACTGTTTGCTAGTTGCAGAAATATTTTATAGTTGATGATCAGCTCTATACACTCAAAATAAACAAACCAGCTGAAGGGTCGATTGATGTTCCGAATATGCACATAATTATAGATATTTGAATACATGTAATAATAATAACAATGATACTCGTGATAATAATGTTTCGACTGTTCAATATTCGCAATACTTTCAAAGAACCCTCCCCCCACTTCGAATAACAGTGATTATGTATTGGCGATGAAAACAAATTTGAATCTTCCATTAGAATTAGAGGAACATCTAATACACCTCGTAAAAAAATCTAAAATGTTTTATATGGAATTAATTTAATGAAGGTGAAGATGGAACATACCGGATTTGTTAAATAAAAATACCAATTTCTTTGGACCATCATCCAGAGGGTACAATAAACGATATGCAAACACAGAAAACAGCTACTACCAATTCAATTAATCATTTAGTTAATAATTCTATTAATTAAAATTTTGAAGTTTAATGATTATAATTATTAAATGCAACTGCCTTAAAGATTATAGTATTTTCAAGCATTACGAATGCTTGAAATTCGAATATAATATAATAATAACTCGAATATTATGTCCAAAAGTTTTCGAATATCCGAATGTGGGGGGTTAAGGGTCACGAATATGCATACTACTAGACATGAACGTTATCAATTATATAAGATTTCATTCATTCATTATATATTACTTAACAAATAATCATGGGAAATTGCATGAACATTGAAATTTGCATGCGCAGTGAGTTTTTTATAATATTATTAAAAACATCCAAAACCACTTTCTACTACTTCTATTCTCCATTATCATCTTTACTGACTTCAATGACATTATCATCATATATTAGTAATAATTCTGATAAAAGAAAGAATCGACTTTGCAAATAAAACTTTTAATTTTTATCTTTATCAATAAAATAGTTTAATGACTGATTTTTAATAGTGAGATGATGATGATATATTATTATTCTCGCAGAGACACACCTTTCATAAAAGTTTATAGATGCAATATTTATGTTAACACATTTTTGTTGAAATAGAATATTTTGGGATGATTATTTATTATTTAAAAGTTTTCTCCACATTTCAACCATTTAATAGGGGAAGTGTGTGCTTGAGACTTTTTTATAAAAGCAAAAGGCTATTAATTATAAATATAAACGGGAGTTTTTTTGGTTCCGTATTCCGTACTAGTACATCTGCACTTCCTTACTAATTAATTGAAGCTCTCAAGTCACTTGGTCCTGAACTCGAACTTTTCATAGTTTTACATACGTAGTAAATGGCAAAGAATAATTCTATGGAAATTTTGGGGTTGAACAATTATAATCAAAAAGGTTATTGCCAATGTTACATATAGTAAATTATTAACAAACAAATTTACATTCATTCATTCCATTTTAACGAGAGTATGCTGCTGCCACTTACAAAAAAGGAAACCATTTAAATGACTTGCTTCTGAGGAGAAAAAAAGTTTTTCTTTATGATAGTGAGAATAATAAAAATGATAACGAATCCCATTAACGAGTGATGATGAATTCAATTAATGAATGTAATACTAATCAAGTAATAAAAGCGATAACGATAGCGATAGAAAAGTAAGTTTATGGGATACTGATTAGATTCTAATTTCAGTATCTTGCCAAAGATAAGCGATTGATTATAAGCCTTTTGCATGTGATTCTGTTTACTTTGGAAATGTACCACCACACGAACTAGATTACTTCATACCCATAAAAATGGCAAAAGATAATGGTCAAAACAAACAAACAGTTATTTAATAAAATAAAACCAATTAAAACTTTTAACTATAAATCATGAACTCTTTTTATTATAATAAAGTATTAATAATTTGATATGCAACTGATTAACATAGTGTTCTACACATCTAAAATTAGAAACAAAAAAGAATAGTGTTCTAGTACCAATCGAAGTTTTTAAATAGAGCATATTGGCACAAAACCTGCTATCTCTTTCTATTTTTCCTTTCGTACCCACAACATTATAATTATTCGTATTTATGATCATTGTAATACATTCGACTCACAATATTTGGTCATAATATTTATGATCATCCATAATATTTGCGATTTATGAGTAATATTTGGTGTCGTTCAAAATACTTATTCGAAATACATTTGGTTATTCACAATATTTATAACTAAAAGGTCATAATTATTTTGAATATTTAAATGGTGTTTAACGAACAGATGCTATTGCATAGTTATGACTATGTACCATATTCTGAACAACGATATTATATTGGTACTCAAAATATCCATATATTTGGTATTCATCTTCATTGAGAGCTTAGTTGATTTGTTCAACTCGAAAGGCCCTAATAGCACACTTGGAATGCAATTAAGAATTGTGACAATGTTGATAGAGAAAATGAAAATGAGAATATTGGATTTATTTATATTTGGTAATTATGGAGGCATTGAATTAAAACTTCACGATCTCTAAATTCAAATGCGATAGCAGTTCTGTACCAATCAAAACCATACAAAAAAAAGACAACTGTTAAATGCGTGTATCATGTTGTAGATGTTGTAAAAGGCGCTAGTGCTGCTGGATTGAATAAAACTCGATGTTATGAAGATATATTAAAATCTGGTTTGAAGATTTGTTTTAAGAAGCTAAATGGTATGCTAGCGTTTTCTTTTGACCTTGGTATGGTGAAAGTTCAAGAGATCGTCAATGATCCATTTTATGAAACTAAAAGAGCAGAAATTTCCAATATTGTAAAAGAAATTAAAAGTTTTATCGTTTCAAATAAGTAAAAGTAACAAGGGTAATTTTTGCCCGATTACTATAAACAATTATGTACGGAATAGTAATTATAATAAACGCTGAATACATACTGAATACACACGAAAAAACGTATTTCTGATCCTGAATTCATTCAGAAAAACACATTTTTGATACGGAATACATATTACTACTAATAGTAATAGGGGAAAAATGCACTTTTTCGTGCCTAAAAATGCGGCACCTTCCCATATGTTATTTCGTATTAACAATGCGCTTTTCTAAATTAAAATGCATTCCATACCATTTCAGTATACAGTGTTTATCGCCGAAAGAGATATTCTACAGGTATATTTCTCTAAACAAAATTTTCGACCAAGAAAAGATCCAATGCTAGTATTGATCGCTGCGGCAAAAGATGCTTATTTTTACAGATGATTATGTTTTATGACCCAGATGAAACCTTAAAAAAAAGAGAATAATTAAGTTTTGCACGGGAATTTATGGGACTAACTTAAGATTAATATAAAGTTAGCTGGTTATGCAAATAATTACCAAATTTGTCGATTAATATTAAATATTAAAATATTTAAAAAATTATGAATGAAGCCAGAAGGGAAAAAACATTTTGGTTTGGTTACTCCATTAATACTATATATATAAACAGAATAAAACTTTGGGGAGTAATTACAACCCTACAATTCATTTGCATAATAATGAACGAACGATTGGAAAATTTTCAAAAGTCTATAAAATATAATAATGATTTTTTTGGATTTTATTATTATTTATAATTTTATTTATTTGGTGATTGTTTTTTTTTACCAAACCACCTACACGTAACGAAAAAAGTTTCATATTCATTAAATTCCTCGATACTTTGCTTCATCATATCTTCATATTCCTTGGACGTTATTTTCATGTAATTAAATAATGCTGGTCCTATCGCTGTCATTCTTGTGACTATATCTTCTTTTCCCTATTATTGACATATTAACACATTATTATATTATTGGTTTGTAAAATAAATAAAAATAAACAAACGATTTTTATTTTTACGCTTACCACTTGACCGATTCTTCCACCCCATTCGCCTATTGGAATTGTCTTTTTTTCATGATATACCTATTATGTGTATTCATTATGGTAATAATTTAATATGATTATATTTAAATTTAATTAAATTATTATTACTTCAACTTACTTCTTCAAAATGTTCGGATCTTTCCATAAATTTACCAAGTAATTGAGCAATCAATGGATTTATTCCCATTTCATTAAACATGTCTTTTCCTAATTGATTAGCAAAAAAAAAAAAAAAAGGAAAAATTAGAATTTCACATTCTTAAATATTCATTTATTCATCATTCTGAATATTTGTTTTACTTACGACGATTTAATAAATGTTCTAATACTGGACCACAATTCTGACATAATTCATATTCACACAACTCTAACCATCCGCCGCCTTTAACTACTCGTATGACCTCTAATCAATATGTACAAGACTATGTTAGAAACAACATAAAAAACTTTAATTCATCAATTAATTCTGATTTCTTACCATTTATAACAATCTCTTCCCATTGTTTTTGTGAGAAGGCAGGTAACATAAATCTCATATGTACAAAATCAAACGACTCATCATCGTATGGAATACTTTCTAAAATATTTTTTTCCAGAAACGTGATATTTTGTGGTTTGATTGAAACTGGAAAAGTTGGTGAAACATCTATTCCAACAAACTCTGATTTATGATAGTTAGTGGCCATTTCAAGCGCCCAAGCGCCAGATCCACACCTAACAGAAACGATAGATTGATTAGTCGATGATGAGATAACGATGGTAATAATAATAAAAAAATAAATACTTTACCCAACGTCTAAAACACTGATTCCTGATGTTAATAGATCATTTATAGGGGATGAATAATTTGATTGATAAACTGCTCGTACCAAAAAATGTTCTAAATTTAATCGATCAACTAAAAAAAAAAAAAATAATAGAATTAAAAAAGGATTAAGAAAAAATAAATGTAGTTACTCTTCATAAATAAACTATATATTACTACACACTTTCGTCGTTATCGTTAGGTAAATCATAAAGTGTTTTTTGATTATGATATCTTCTTCCCTCGATAAATCGAAATTTTTCTGTGCAAGTTTTATTCACATCTGGTTGTGGTCTGTGTTTTGCGTGATTTGCACCCATCTCAAACGAATGATTTAATATTATTAATAATATTACTGGCTGTGTAGTAGGTTAAAATTTAAAATTTTTTTTTGAAAGAAACGAAAGCGGAAATTTTCTCAAAAAAAAATAAAATAAAATTCAAAGTTTTGTTTTTATAGACATTTTATACTAATTAATTGCTCTGATAAGATATCATTAATATTTACTCAATTTAATATGTACATATTTATTAGATAAATATTAATATTTGATGTTACACGGGCGATTAATCTTTTATTTATGCAGGGTTTTTTATCGTCTCTATAAAAGAAATCTTTCTTAACTCTCTTAACTCACTCGGCAAGCATTTATCATTTATCATTTGTTGCCATCATATATAATTTATAATTAATGATTACTTTGATTTTTAAATATATATATTTAAAGAATCAAAAAACTATTTTCAACAAAATTATGATTTAGTTGTCAATTACTATTGCGCATCATTGTTATGATCACAAACCACAGAAGGATTTATTTGCACAACCAATTGATAATTACCTAATATTAAAAAATTCTTTAATGGTTTTTTTTCAGGAAATGCATAATTCTTTTGATTAGCAAGAAAATCTATTTAAATATTTACTTACATTGGATACATATGCGACCAAATTAGAAAAGGAATATGCCGAACCGATATCTTTTAATAATAAGAATTGAGTTCACATCATGTCGTGCAACTTTGTGATTTATAATGTTATTAATAAAACAAACAAACAAAAATAAGTTTTTTTTTTGGAAAAACTTTACCGAAATTTATCATAATCCATGCATATATGATTAAGATATTGTAAAACTTTATTTATTTATATCTGTCAAATTGGGCTACCCCTGCTTTTGTTCTTAAAAAAATGCAACATGCCCATATGCAGTAAGAATTTGCATAATTAATTGTGTATCGTGTATTTTTATTGAAGAAATTAACAATCCACCAATACAATGTTATTATATACATACATACATGTTTAAAAAATTTTTTTAAATTTAAACAAATTTTTATTTAAAAAATGATCACAATTAAAAAATGGTTTATAACCTGGGTAAAAGTTTTAAACTAACCTGATTTTTATTATATTACTACTGCGGATACTAACATCTTTCTTCTTGTAATTGACAGTGGAAAAGAATTAATGAATGTTTGTGGTCACAATTATTTACATGCACATCGATAATTCAAGCAATAATTGGAATAGTGTTAACCATAAGAGTATATCAACGTAATTACGATATATCCACTGAACTTGAAAAGTATGGTACTACCTGTCAGTCGTTGGGTTCAGTGGAAAGAATGGAGAGAATAGTGGGAGAGAATTTATTCTTTATAATATTTCAGATTTTTCAATTATTCTTTTGTCTTGATGCAGTAAGGATTATTATTATTTTATTAATGTTAAATATTAAAATATTAAATATTAGTTATCAATTATTAAATATTAGATTTATGATCAAAATACGATTCAAGTAATAACTATAGCAATAACAAATTTTATATGTTCTGCTTATGGAGCTGTAAGATGATTTATTTTAACTTTTGCTTTTAATTTTAATTTCAATCAATTCAATCAAATATTAATTTAATTATCTATTTATTTCAGGGACAAATATTGATTGTTTCTAAATGGTATAAAGATTTTAAAAATGAATGTACTAATCATCCTATAAGAGAATTTGATTATAAAATATATGACGTGCCTTTAGTTGCTATACTGTTAACTTTTTCATTATTAATGGGAATTTTTGCTTATAAATTATATCAACATTTCGGTTGGAAGATTTATAAGAAAATCGGCGGGAATACTCAAATTCAAAGGCAAGTAAAGAAATAAGCAGAATTAATTGATTATCATTACTTTATTATTAACAATATGTTCTGTTATTTTATAGAATGTATAAAAATTTTCTTGTATTTATAATATTTTTAAAACTTGATATTTTTTTTTTGTTGGTATTTGCCGTTGAGGCATGGATGTCATTTTACGATGATGAGGAAGAACAAAGTAATCGTTACCATGTGCCAAAAATATTCCTATATTTTCACAAAACTATTACAATTTTAATTATCGTGTTAGAATTATTGGTTTATTTTTCAGTAAGTAGTATATTTATTATCGGTATGGTTTTTTACTGATGAATTTAAGCAGTAGATATTTATTTATTTAGTCTTTTATTTGAAGTCCAAGTTTGAGTATAAACTAGGAATGATAGTCTTTTTGGTCGTGTGGACAGCTGTAATTTCTGATTACGTATTTATTTTTAAATATATCATCAGTTCAAAGCTTTCTTGGTATTTTTTCATAATCTTTAGTAAGTTTTGTTTTTAAAAAATTTAATCAATGTTATTAATCGTCGTCGTAACAGTATTAATATAAATAATATATTCTATGTTGTATAGCTGTGTTGGCTGTTTTGATGTCACTGGTAAGTTTTTGCAATCTAATAAATAAAAACAGTTAAATTCATTCATTTACTAATTACGGATGCATTAACGTTATATAGATAACTTGGATTTTAAGTTTTATAATTTATAAAAACTTTGATAAAGGTTTATATGAAGCCAGTAAGTTACTCAATATATTATTATATCATTATTATTGTTACATATTATGTCGTTGCTATTGTTGTTAAATTACATTTTATATAATATAAAATTTATAGTAGTTGCAAGGGACAAGTTAAATCCTTCTTCGCCACGTAACAACAACAACAACAACAACAACAACAACAACAACACTGAAACAAGATTCGTTATAGATGATTGTTAATAAATATAAATATAAATATATATATATCCATCTGTATGAATAGTGATTTGAAAACAAAACAAAATTATCAGCAAATAGTAATGACCACATATAGAATAATTAACTTTAAAGTATAATATAATGAATATTCGTTAATTTATAGAAAATTTTTTAATAATGATCTGTATTCCAGCGAACTCATTCTTCCTAGAGATGGGAAACTGCGTGCGCATAATGCAGTGCATTTTTTTTAAAAGAATTTAGAATATCACCTTTTTCTTCACCACTTTCTATTTATCAACTTTCATTATCATTTTCGCCTCCCATATTTCCATCACAATCAATTGTTGTAATCTTATCATTGTTGGTATTTTTTGGACATTTTAATTCGTAATTAAAATAAACACACACCAATTTAAATCACATTCAGGTGTTAATTTGTCTCTCTTTTTATCATGTACAAAAGAAAAAAGCGGATCAATCAATCCCTTTTAGAAGCAAGCTGATGGAAAAATTCTAGCTTCGAAATGATGTATGTAATCTTTATTATTATTATCTCGATATTTTTCCCGCCGAAACGGAAATTAAGCACAATCGCGATTCACACAAAATGATCAACATACATCAACCGGGATTTTTTATACATGTAAGATCGGCAGGGCTAAGATAACAGTAATTTCTTTATATATATTATTTTATGTGTGATATAAATTTGGTATGTTACATAACAATTTAACAAACGCATTCAGTCAATCATTTCTTTTAATTAGTAAATGTGCCTCGATTTATATTGAAATTCCCTGATTGGGAATCACGGGTTATTAATTGATCGCCGAGATACTGTATAATTTGAATAATTTAGGCATCAATCGTGTGTTGGTCGTCTGATTTTAATACATGTAACCCCTTTAATGAATATGTATTTCATGAATACACACAATCAACATTCTTCATAAAGATTTTTATAAACAAAGCAAATAAAATATAGTTTTTGTGTTCCAAGTATATATTAATGCATTTTCTTTTTTTCTTTTTAACAATTTTAGTAATTTGAAATTATCTTCTTTTTTTTTTTAAAGTAAATTCACCCGCAGCGTAACAGGGATTGTGCGTAATCGTATCCCCCATCATCCTCTACTATTATCAAGGGCCTCTTTTAAATTTTCTCATCCAATTCTTGCTAATATCAATAAATACGTTGTAAATCACATTGTAATCATTAGAAAAAATATTTTAGATGTTAATGACGAAATGTAATTATCCTACAGCTACGTATATTCCATGATCATCGTCTTGTGGTGAGGTTTGGTTGACAAAAGGAATCGTGCAACCTTTAGGTCCTTTTCCCCTTTAAATGATTGACACAATTAGAATTTTCAATTTAACATACAGCACGTTGCTTTATTTCCAGATGCAGCAAGTTACAATGGGCTCAAAAACATTTCTGCGTACTTGCGTTCCACGATATAGTGAGCTGTTCATAACGTCATTTATTTTGATAATTTTATGTTCATACAAATAATTCTTGAATTCGGCAAGTGATTCTGTTTCCTAAATTATTATAGAATTATATTTCAAAAGAATTCGATTCAGATCGAATAATAATAACTACGCACAGTCACACATACTTCTTATACATCCATGATTTTCTTGTCAACAAATTTATGCCCTTTTTTACTGATTATTTTTTATTAAGCAGTAAAGACATTTGAGTTGTGAATATTTTTCATAATATAATAAATAAACCAAATACTAAGGCCATGCAAAAAGAAATTTTAAAGACATAATGCCCTGGAAAGATGAAATAATCTTAAAAATTATCCGTATTAAAAGGTCGGAGCCCCCAAGTTACTGAATTGATTAGTTTGTCGATGACAGTCAAGATCCTAAAAATAGCAACATTAGGAAATAAACCTTGATGAATCCTCGCAGGATAAGTGTTTCATCCAAATGGTACTGGAAAATTTTTAATGGTTGAGTTCCTATCCAACCATGCACTCCATATCGTTATCAGGAAATTTTAAAGCTTGCGTAAATTTACGCAACCAAGCTCAAAAAATTTAGTTAAATGGATAAAATTATTCCTTGGATCAATCACATGACTTAATTTGTATAAATCAGATAATATTTACTCGTTATTTGGGATCAAGAATAGGCATATCAGCCGATTTGATTTTTTGGACCCTTTTTTCAAACCTTATTATTATTTCTTATTGTGTCTAGACGTTAAACACAAGTATTTTTAATGTGTAAACTGGTCAGTAGAATGATAATTAACCCTAAAAAAAAATTTATTTGCTCTGCTAAAAAAAACTATTTTAACATTCAACAACCCGTCAAAATGTACCCACCTCAAAACCAATGGGTCCATACCCGTACTGAATTTTAGGGTTCAAACAAAATCAGCGCATATGGTTAGGTGTCAAACAAGTCTTTCACATTCAACCCAGTCAGCCACCATAAATTTTTATTGTATCAACTCCGTGAGATCAATTGGTCAATCATGCTTTATCGGTTCAAGAAGGTAGAAGTTATCTCTAATAATCGCGTATTTGCTCAGAAGGCGTGTAAATAAGAACTGGTCTCTGCGGCAAACATTTATTCGATTGTTTAGGAAGAAACTTATCCTTTATGATACATAAAGATGAGATAAGGTATAAATAAAACTAATAAATATTTGAAATATTAGTGTTCATTTGTTCAAATATATATTAATTCTAATGCGCCAAGATCAGGATGCAGATTTCCGAAAACAATGGACTTTCCCGATTGATTCTTTTAATCAAATATGCTACTTAACAAACCGAGTTTAGTTGGAGCATTGATTTGGTAGTAATAGATAAAGATCATAAACATATACCTTTCCTGTGTATAATAATAAAATAAAAAAATTTTATATTGCTTGCGCCAGGGTCAAAATTTATCTGCGCATAATTTTGAATTATGTGCACAAATTTGTAAAGAAAAAATCAATTTGCTTAAGAAAGTTCGTAATGTAGAAACTAGCGATAAAAGACCACAAGAACTCGCAAGATCCGCAAGATCACAAAGAAGAAACTTGCAATAACAGAATTAATGGGAAAATTGAACGTTACTTTAATAATATAGAATACATCTTCAAAAGTTTAAAAATTTACGGCTTTGAAGTTTACAATATGTAAGATCACGCAAGGACAACAAAATGACGTCACGTTCTAGCTGTAGTTGTTATGAGCAAGTAGACAAACAAAAGGCTTTGTGTATTAAATGTGTTAAACGACGACGAATTATTAAAACCGATTATTTTTCTTAATATAAGGAAAACTTCAACTCTTTAAATTGGTGGGCAATATTGGTTTGTGCAATGGTTTCTTTTTTTATTTAATTTTAAAGTTTGCACAACGCTCAAAATGTCAAAACATTTCCTTTTTCAATAACTCGAATTAAGCCGAAATCCGAACCGGGAAAAGCCGAATCCGAACCGCTTGGAGCCTTTAGTTGTCAGTATTGAAGGATCAGAAAGCAAGGTTTTTAATTTTTCATCTGATTTTTCCCACTCTTTGAAATTTTTCGGAATTTTGAATCCTAAATTTAATACTAATACTAAAGAGGGGTGTCCCCAAATGACATCATTTTGCTTAATAAAACGTCTAATTCAATTATCACTTTAGAATATCATCTAACCAATTTTCATCGTCATCTTTATTATTAACTATTGTGTTGATTTTCTTTTTACCGATATTTTTTATACTTGGTTTTGCAGTTTGTGGTTCTTAATTAATAATAATTTTTATTAGAATTAAGATTATCTCTACAATAAAAAAAATCTAAATAATACATAAATAACAAGATAAATAGTCTTATATTTACCATTGTCAAGTGATCTCAAGAAATCGTCAATATCATCAACGTCTTTTTCATTTGATGATATTGATGGTTTTGCTGATTTTGCTGATTTTGTTGATTTTGCTGATATCGTTGATTTTGCTGTAGTTTTTGTAGTTGCATATATTATATTATCACCAACATCTTTACTAATATCTATAGGTGATTTTTTTGCTAAATTACTACTACTACTACTACTACTAATGATATTGGTTTTAGCAGTAGCAGATTTATTGGGAGTAACTGTTTAATTAATTAATTAATTAATTAATTAATAAATTATTGTTATCATTTTTTAATAAATATATTATTATTAAAAATCTAAAAACTAAACAATTTAAAAAAAATCACCTTTTAAATTTGAATTAGAATGTGGTCCAGTGATTCTAATTACTTTGGCAGATTTCTGATTTGATGATGATGATGGTGATGATGGTGATGGTGATGGTAATGACGATGAATTATTATTCAATAACAATGGAGCTTTTTCTTTTTTTTTGCTTGTTGTATATTTTTGAATGCTATTATTATTGATTGAAGAAGAAGAAGAAGGTGGTGGTGGAGAAGAAGAAGTTGTTGATATAGTTGAAGATTTTATATGCTTTGGAATTATTGGATGTTTTAAATTCATTGCATTTGAATCTTTAATGTCAATAGTTTTTAATGCTTCCTATCATCATTATTATATTATTTTTGTATTATCGTCATCATATTATTATTATTACTTTATCACCATCATTATATTATTATAGGATTATATTTAGTTACCTTTAAAAAATCATCATTTATATTTAATCTTTCATGTAATTCCACACTACCTATTGATGCATCCAAGCTATCAAACCCAATACTCATTAACTCTTCATAAATCTAATTCAATCAAAAAGAAATTTTTATTATTAATTTATAGAAACTTTGCATTTCAATAAAATAATGACTTTTTTTACATTGTCAGTTTCATTTTTATCAACTTCAAGTGCACTTTCCAACTGTTTTTCTTCTTTAAATAAGTATCGATATTTCATTTTTATAGAGTATAGTAAGCTATGTATCACAGTAGTCGATCATACATACATTTACAAAATGTTTGTTTTGATGACATTTTGTTTTTTACCATGGAGTCTTCTAATATCAATATGAACAAGATTCTCTCTTATGCTGAAGTTTTAATTGATGATCCGTCTATGAATTTAGTGAACTTGCTGCGGAAGCACTAATCTTTACATTCTCAAAGTAAAAAATTTTTTTTTCAATTCAAGCAATATATATATTAATATATATCAATAACTTTTGGATTTTTTTTCTAGCTGCACATACAAAAAAATTTATCTGGCAGGGCTAAAGTATAATACAACTTTTCACTCAAAGGTTCACCAATGATTCTTACTAATAAACTGAATAATATACACAACTTTCCCATAGAATATCTAGCTACTTCATTTTGATATTGGCGGATGGAAAAATTATCAACTTGAAATGGATACGAGTAGATGTAAGTTTTAAAAGAGTAAAAGGCGAGTGAAATCAATGAATTTGAAATCAATACATATGATCCAGTGTATCATTGAAGTAAGTGATTTTTTTCAAGTTGATTTGTATATTAGATACTAGGAAAGATTTTATTGATCAAAAATTTTAACTCTTATCTTAAATCACCATCACTTTGTCGAGTTTTTACAAACATTTTTACAATGGTGGATACAGACGCTTATTTTATCAATTTTGATGTAATTGAAGAAGTTAATGGGAAATCGTTCAAATTTTACCACTTTCATAAAGAAGGCATCGGTTGGACATTATCAGATTTAGATGCTGCACACGCTAAATTCTTAGGACTAGCATTACATCATTTAGATTCTGAAAAGGATTGGAAAACTCGCTTGATTTATGTATTTAAGTCATGTTTAATATGTGATTATTTATTTGCTTTTTTAAGCAAAATATTAAATATTTACAAAAAAACCATTCAATGTAACAACCAAAAGGTTGATCAGACAAATTCCTTATGCAACAAGTGAAGAACAAATATATGATCCTTGAAAAAATTAATGATGTAATCGAGGGTATATTGTAATTGAATTACTTGATTGTATTATATTTATTGATACATACATGTACACAAAAAATATTGCAGGTTGGTTGAAATTATTTATCAACAACGATACATTTTGACATCTTTAAACCAATCCATTTCAAAGATTGATCTTGATATTTGGGTGGATATGGAAATAGAACGCGAAGAAATTTTATAAAAGATCAACAAAAAAATTATATTTTACATCCCCCGTCATTTTTAAAATAATGATTTGTTGACAACATAAATGATACAGTTGATTTTTGCACGGAATAATACTTATTGTGTGACAATTGAATTTTTAATCGAATCTTGAAACTTGGCTATAAACGTAAAATAACCGAGGTTGACCAAAAAGCTACCTTCGCACTATTCATAATAAATGTAATGTAAAGTTTATTTAAATTGATTATATATATAAAATAAACTTTTTTTTGCTCAGTACGTCTACCTCGTTTTCAACCTCCAAGTTCCCAAAGTGTATAATGTTAAAGAGAAGAATCCGAAGGTTACACGATTATTTATCAAATAAGACCAAAAAATTCTATAAACCTTTTCCTTTAATACCAAAAATGGACAAAAACATTATATATCAGTAAGAAAAATCATGTTAATACAAACTTTGATAAATTTGATTTTATTAGATAATTCATTCACACGAGTACTTTGATATCATGTTTTTATATGATTGTTTAAAAACTCATTTAATATAATAATAATGCATAATCAATTACATTTATGTACAACAAACAATAAAAAATCCTATTATACACATACATACATATATTTGTTATGTATATGTATGTATGATCAACATTATTTATTATACTGCATGGTCGGCAACCTCCTATTGCTGCTCCATGTGGCCAAATTTCTAAAATCCTTTAAAGGGTATTTAAGGTATTTCCCAAAAATGATAAATTTTAATATAATAAATTAAACAACTATTTACACTATTGTCATATACAATCAATCTATATACTTGTTTGTTCTCTCATTAAAGCTAACTTACCTTACTGCCAAATTTAGAGATGATTGTTGTAGATTAGTCTAAATTTAGTAATGATCTACAGGATCAACAGGAAAATTTTAATAATAATAAATAATACTTAATACAATACTTGATATAATTTACAAAAAATTAAATGCTAATTAATAGTCAATTATTTACTGAAAAAAACTAGTAACGTTTGTTTGTATTGAATTTTGAATACTATATGATTTATTGTTTTTTTTTCAATGATTTTAAAGCTTTAATTCATTATAATCTGCTTGTATATTATTTTGTTCAAGAAAATTAAAAGCAGTTTCAAAAGCTTTTTCACATTTTTTGGAAGAAGAAGATAGTTGTTGAGACATTTTAATTTCGTAGAATTTAGAGATTTATTAATTTAAAGAATCAAAGAAAATGTTGATTATGTAGAATTATTAGAAGATATTTATTTATTATCAATTTAGAAATATGTAAAATTTGATTAATATTATTATTTAGTGATATGTGTTTAATTATTCGTGTAAAATCATTATTTAGAAATATGAAAAATTTGATTGATATTATTACAGTCAGGGATAGCATAGTGGACATTTGATTTCATTGGCTAATTTTTGTGATGATCTCTCTTCGAAATATCACACAAAAATCGAATCTTATTGGCTTGAATATCATTGCCAAAAAAAATTTTTAATAAACGCGTATAATATAATTCACATTTATATTTGTTAAACAAAACAATTTAAACTTACAAAATCAATTAATTTCTATTAATTAAATGCATATTTCAAAATGAGATAAAAAACCACTGAAAAATTCAATTAGATTTTCATAAAAACTTAAATTTAACATATTAAATAAAATAAAAAAAATAAATTGTTTTAAAATGAGACAAAACTATGGTCCATGTAAAGTTGAAAACTGTAAAAATAATGATCCTAATACAAATAAATTTAGAACTTTTACTGAAGATTCTAAAAACAAAGCTATAAAACATAAAACATATGAAGATTATAATTACCTTAAGATTGGTGATCAACTTTGTCATCCACATTATTTATCAATTGTAGTGCCAAATAGAGGCGATGATAAAAAAAGACGGTCAGGAGACTTTGGGGAAATTTTTATTGTTGATGATGATGATTCTACAGAATCCAAATTATCTCATATTCTGGAAAATTCATCTGATAATGTTGAAGAAAATTTTGATTATTGGTCAGATATAAATATTAATAATCATAAAGATAAGGTATCTTTGTCAAATGAAAATTTTGATCTCCTAATAAATAAAATAAAAGAAATCCAAAAACAATTAAATGATTACAAAAAAAAATAAAATAAATGAATTTAATGAAAAAATTAAATTATTATCACAAGTATTGTATCAAAGGCAAAGACAGCTGAATTTAGACATAGAGTTAGACCCTGAAAAATTTAAAGATATGATTGAGAAACATGATATGAAATTAAAAGGTTTTTTTGATGAATTAGTTGATATCTTTTTACCTTCTAATAGATCAACACATACTATAGACAATGCCAAAAAATCACTTGTTGGGTTTTGCTACTTGTTGACTGGCCTAAGGAATAAATTTAATAATTCTCTTCAATTAGAAATTGGTCTTTATTTATTTTCATGTGGTGCTACTACAGAGTGTATAGATGTGATGTCAAGACTTGGTATTTCAGTATCCTACAAATCAGTAGATAGATACAAAAAAAACATTACAAGTGGTCACTTGCCAAAAATAAATCAGTATTTTGAAGAAAATAAAAAGCATTACATCATTTAGATTCTGAAAAGGATTGGAAAACTCGCTTGATTTATGTATTTAAGTCATGTTTAATATGTGATTATTTATTTGCTTTTTTAAGCAAAATATTAAATATTTACAAAAAAACCATTCAATGTAACAACCAAAAGGTTGATCAGACAAATTCCTTATGCAACAAGTGAAGAACAAATATATGATCCTTGAAAAAATTAATGATGTAATCGAGGGTATATTGTAATTGAATTACTTGATTGTATTATATTTATTGATACATACATGTACACAAAAAATATTGCAGGTTGGTTGAAATTATTTATCAACAACGATACATTTTGACATCTTTAAACCAATCCATTTCAAAGATTGATCTTGATATTTGGGTGGATATGGAAATAGAACGCGAAGAAATTTTATAAAAGATCAACAAAAAAATTATATTTTACATCCCCCGTCATTTTTAAAATAATGATTTGTTGACAACATAAATGATACAGTTGATTTTTGCACGGAATAATACTTATTGTGTGACAATTGAATTTTTAATCGAATCTTGAAACTTGGCTATAAACGTAAAATAACCGAGGTTGACCAAAAAGCTACCTTCGCACTATTCATAATAAATGTAATGTAAAGTTTATTTAAATTGATTATATATATAAAATAAACTTTTTTTTGCTCAGTACGTCTACCTCGTTTTCAACCTCCAAGTTCCCAAAGTGTATAATGTTAAAGAGAAGAATCCGAAGGTTACACGATTATTTATCAAATAAGACCAAAAAATTCTATAAACCTTTTCCTTTAATACCAAAAATGGACAAAAACATTATATATCAGTAAGAAAAATCATGTTAATACAAACTTTGATAAATTTGATTTTATTAGATAATTCATTCACACGAGTACTTTGATATCATGTTTTTATATGATTGTTTAAAAACTCATTTAATATAATAATAATGCATAATCAATTACATTTATGTACAACAAACAATAAAAAATCCTATTATACACATACATACATATATTTGTTATGTATATGTATGTATGATCAACATTATTTATTATACTGCATGGTCGGCAACCTCCTATTGCTGCTCCATGTGGCCAAATTTCTAAAATCCTTTAAAGGGTATTTAAGGTATTTCCCAAAAATGATAAATTTTAATATAATAAATTAAACAACTATTTACACTATTGTCATATACAATCAATCTATATACTTGTTTGTTCTCTCATTAAAGCTAACTTACCTTACTGCCAAATTTAGAGATGATTGTTGTAGATTAGTCTAAATTTAGTAATGATCTACAGGATCAACAGGAAAATTTTAATAATAATAAATAATACTTAATACAATACTTGATATAATTTACAAAAAATTAAATGCTAATTAATAGTCAATTATTTACTGAAAAAACTAGTAACGTTTGTTGTATTGAATTTTGAATACTATATGATTTTATTGTTTTTTTTTCAATGATTTTAAAGCTTTTAATTCATTATAATCTGCTTGTATATTATTTTGTTCAAGAAAATTAAAAGCAGTTTCAAAAGCTTTTTCACATTTTTTGGAAGAAGAAGATAGTTGTTGAGACATTTTAATTTTGTAGAATTTAGAGATTTATTAATTTAAAGAAATCAAAGAAAATGTTGATTATGTAGAATTATTAGAAGATATTTATTTATTATCAATTTAGAAATATGGAAAATTTGATTAATATTATTATTTAGTGATGTGTGTTTAATTATTCATGTAAAATCATTATTTAGAAATATGAAAAATTTGATTAATATTATTATTTAGTAATGTGTGTTTAATTATTTGTGTAAAATCATTATTTAGAAATATGGAAAATTTTGATTAATATTATTATTTAGTAATAGTAATGTGAGAATTATTCATGAGAATTATTCAATTTGTTTATATTATTATTTAGCAATGAATTAATCTTAACATAGTAATGTGTTTTTTTTTATAAAATCTATATCACGTGAATCCGTTGTAACGCGATTAGTACTTTAATAAAATCAAGGGGTAAAACCAAAAATCCGTTGAAACGAGGGTTCGACTGTATAATTATATTAATTGTTACATACTTATATCTGATAAAATTCCGCGCTTGACAATCTCCTGTGGCGCAGAAAATTGTAGGACTAGGTGTCTTGCACTATAGTAAAATACATGTACTAAAAAAGAATAGAACTCTATACCAAATGATTTTTTGAGAAATCTCGTTATTACATTAAAACTAAAGGCCTATTATATCAACTAACAACGCTATTTTTTTAAAAGGTAGGATAGAAAGTGACTTCTATACTTTTTAAAATTTGTGAAAAATTTAGGAGGTCCTTAGACCGAGCCAACTATATATTAAATTATATATCAGTAGTATGTATTATCGACATTACTATACTGTATAGTGATACATTACATAAATAGTGGGTTATACATTACATGTTTCTGTAATCCCTCATTTTTATAAACCATCTTTTTCTTCTTTGGGGGAGGATGGAGATGGACATATGATAAAGACTACCTTTTCAATATGATCAGGTTTTAACCCTTTAGAAAAAATATCATCCGATTGCGTATGTTTTCCAAATCTGTGGGGGGTTTTTCTACAGAAAGGTTAAATTAGAAATCGAGGTGCCAATTCCTCCTTAACTTTATGTTTAGGGAATTTTTGATTTGGAAATTTTCTTCCGAGTCATAAACCTTTAAATTTGATATTTAAAAAAGTTAAATTTATTTGGAAATCGCTAATAACATCCTAAAAAAAAATATTTTAAACCACTCGCTACACAGGGAATTAATTATCCATAATCTATCTGAACGATAAAAAATAATCTGGGATTTTTTGGCATATCTTACTTATTATGATAATATATATTCAATATTTTTTATCTACATATATCATATATGTACGTATGTGGTAGTCAAACCTTTCCGCGGAGGATTATAATTATAGTATTAAATTCGCGTCATAACGAATTTTTGAAATTTTTGTTTCGCATATTAATATTAACATTAATATAAACCCATTGTAATTGTTTCTACAATCAAACGATTTCACCAGAGTTTATTAAAATCAAAATATTAAAAAGAGATTATTCACCATCGAAAGAAATGGATATTTGGAATTGCGTTGTTAAATGTGGAATTACTGCTGCTGCAAATCCTAATGCCGGCAGCGTTGACAGAAAATGATATTAGTACAGTAAAAACTTCATTAGAAGACATTGTTAGAGCTTACTGGCCAAATCGAATCTTCGGGTTCGAAACAAATTCGAACCGGTAATTTTGGAATGGAACGTTCGAACCATATACAAACCATCAAATATTCGAATTGTACAAACCATAAAATATTCAAAATGAACTATTAAAATTATTCGAATATTTGTTGCTCTTTAGTAAAGATTTTCAGTGTAAAGATGTCTCTTTTTCCTCGTGTTTTTTGCTTATTAATTCAGGACGAGCAATTTGATTTTTGTGTAAGATCTTTTTATAAATATATTTTTTAATGATATAAAATATTGTTGTTCTATGGATACCAAGAATTCTAGATATATTGTAGTTGGGCACTCTTTTTTTTATAAAGACTGATTATTTCGTTTATTAAAAATTATGCTTGTTTGGAAAAAATTTAGTGTTTATTCAAAATGTATATTAATTAATTGATTTTTTCGGTACTTTGCCTATTTTTTAATTATTAATAATTTAATAAAATGTTAGAGAAACAAAACTTTGCATATATAATTTTGAGAACTTAGGCTGCAAAATTATTGTTGTGTGATCATTGCTTAACTTTTGTCCATGTAATTCGAATCACATAGTTGGTTCTATAGATGAGTAATGTCCAAAATATAATTAATTTTTATATATTTAGACAATTGAGACCATGATTATCCAAAACGAATTTTTAATGGATAATTTACCGACTTTTTGGATTTTGATATATATCCACGTGACTTTTAGTCGTATTTAAAACAAACCATTACTATTTGTATTAAATTTTGTCTAAATACTATTTTGACAACTACCCCAAAAACAATTAGACACCCATCTATAGTTGGTTTGAATCGAACCATAGAATATTCGAATAAAAAGTTTTTGATTATAATTCGAACCGGTTTGTACGCATGCTTAAATTATAAGCAAGCTTTTGATTATAGGCAATCCGCACACTATGTACGAAACTTCCAAACCCGCGCGAAAACCCCAAATTTGTATAATCATAATAACAGTTGAACGTCTTTAAAATACTAAAAAAAAAAAAATACAACGTTTCAAAAATGTTAGCAGATAAGTTCTATAGTTTATGATTCTGGCTTCAAAACTTATCTGTTGGATTTTTCTTAGATTTTTTGAGCCTTATAAGTTTCGTGTAACCAAAAAATAATATGATTTTGATGTGTGGATCACATGATATTTCATTTGATCATTAAACCTGGTCACATTACCAACTTAAAAGTCATTTGTTCCACAAATCCCGCGAATACTATTTAATAAAACCTAATGTAAATAGAGCCCGTAATATACTAATTATAATACTTTTAAAATATATTACGGAAACACAACGAGAGTCACTCGCGAATTTGGGACTTACACCGCCTTATTTATTGTGCTTGCTATACGTAGGCAGATCAACAACAAAATAAAGATCATTGCTAAAAATAGATTACAAAATTTTAAATTAAAAAAGTTATTAAATTTCCTTCTAACTAGAAAAAGTAAATTACTCTTTTCTCTCTTTCTTTCCTCCCTCCTCCTCCCTCCCTCCTTCTTTGTCCCTTTTTTTTTTTATTAATTTCTAAATAAAATAAAAAGTTGTTTTTGCAGTATGCGGCTATTTTCTTTATTACCATTATTGTTGATTCCTTTAACATTATTTTGTTGGTATAGAGCTTATAACTTGAACAAAGAAGCAAATATAAGTTTATATGGTGAAGACGATAAAAAAATCGATAGTGATTTAAAGTCATCTTCAAATGATGATCAATATTTAAAAAAAGATTTTGATAAAGATGTCAGAATTGATAATAAACTAGATAATTTATTCTATTTTATCCAGGTAATATATCTATTATGGTGGTTGGAGATATAAGTGAGTTGGAACTGATTCATCTTTATTTTTTTTTCTTTCCCCTCTTGTTTAAAGATATCTGATCTACATATATCGAAGTTTCAAAGGGTTGGAGGAACTTATCACTTTTTACATTTTCTTTCAACAGTGATTCCAGCAATTTCTCCAAGTTTTGTGATTGTGACGGGAGATTTGACAGATGCAAAAGATTCAGATCTAGTAACATCGAGCCAATATGTTGAAGAATGGATAACATATGAATCAGCATTGATAGAGTCAGGAATACCTGCTAAAAGAAAAGAGTTTTGGTATGATTTACGTGGAAACCATGACTGTTTTAATGTTAAGTCATGGGAAAGTGAAGAGAATTTTTATAAAGAATACGGAATTGTAAAACAAAAAGGATTTAATTTTACCGTTGAAAAACCATTTGGTAATTATACATTTATTGGTCTAGATGCATGTCCGAAACTTGGTCCAGCTAGGCCTTTTAATTTTTTTGGTTATTATGAAATTGAAGATATGGATAATTTGGCTAATAAAATTCATGATGCATCTTTAAATTCTAATCATATCTTTTTGGTAATAATAATAGTACTGTATATTAATTAATAAATCATATCATATTATTCACATTTGATCATTTATTTTTTTTTAATATAGATGGCCCATTATCCTACTGCAACAACAGTTTATGGTAAAACATCAAAAGGAGAAAGTTTTCATGACTTATCAAGACATATCAGTGTTTATATTTGTGGCCATTTGCATAAGCTCGCATGGGGTTTGGGTGAAAGATTACAGACATATCAGCCTACAGATTACCTAGAATTAGAATTAGCAGATATGAAAGAGCATGCAGCTTATCGAGTAATAGCAATTGATCATGATCTCATTAGTTTTGTTGATTTAATCTTGCCTTTAAATCAAGTACCATTAAGAAATCAACCAAAGCCGAAAAATAATCAAACGATCTTACCAGATAGATTAGCTTTTCCACCTGTTATACTAATAACAAATCCTAAGGACTCCAAATTTTCAATGAAACATCATGAACCAGTTAATCGTATACTGGATAGTACACATATAAGATTGTTAATTTGGTCAGAATATGAAATTCAAAATGTCACAATTTATTTGGATGGTAAAATTCATCAAGAAGATGTTGTATTAGTAAGAAGTAATAATAATAATAAAAGTGATAGCGATAGTAATATATCGCCACCACTTTGGACATCTAAATGGGATCCAAGTAAATTCAATAATAATAAAAACCATCACATATCAGTGTATGCTAAAGATATTTCAGGACAAGTTGGATATCAAAAAATAGTATTTAGAGTTGACGGGGAAAGAAGTGATATGGATGGGGGAATTAGTGAATTTTTAATTGGACTTCGTTGGACAAACTTTGTAAGTAGGAATTAATTTTTTATTGAAATTAAATAAATTTTTTTAAATTTAATTGATGATTAATACAATTGTTTTAATTTTAACCTAAATTTTTTAGATTAAATTTTTATTTATTTTTATTCATTTAGTATTAATTAATAGTTTATTAGCTTCTAAAATAATTCTAACATTTAAACCAGGTCATAGATTATTAAAATTAAATCTTAGTCTTTATAATGATTATAATAATAAATTTAATTTATTAATAAATTATATTATTAGTAAATTGTTTTTATTTGTTTCACTAAAATCAAGATTATTTTATTCGTTTTATTTTTATTTATTATCAACAATAACTTTGCCTTGGTTTTATGGTAATTTCATACCAACTACAAATAATAGTTATGGTGTATTTTGGCTATATGGAATTAAATTACTAAATAGCAATAATAGTAGTAGTAGTTATATTAGCTTTAATGTTAGAAGTGATGGTGATGGTAATTGGTTACCGATATTTGACACTTGGAGTTATGGCTTAATGGATTATATTTATAATTCTATTTTATTATTTTGGTTTTTATTAATTATAAAAATCAAAAAAATTAAAAATACTTTAATAATAATTGGAATATTTCTTTGGTTATTTAAATTATATAATTTATATAATTTAACGCTTTATTATACCAATTCATCTTTAATAAATATACAAACAATTTGGTTATTGGTTTGGGGTTATGAAGAATTATTTAAGAGATTTTAATAATAATAATAATAATAATAGTAATAATAAACAATAGAAATTTAAATCGATATTTAATAAATCAATCATACAAGAATATTTTACATGATTTAGTTCTGCACTTTTTAATTGTAATTCATTATTATTATTATTGTTGAACTATTTGTAATGCTTTTGATGCGATTAATCCTGGTTCTTCTTACTATTATCTGAATTCTTATTTGAATGTGCACTTTTCGAAATCGTCATGGCCAAAGGTTGATTATATAATCTTGGAATTAGAATAATTGGGCTAATTTTGCCACTAACCCTACTAACATCAAGGAAATTCCTATAGAATAGACCATAAAAACGAAAGTTTTACTGAGTATTAATCAGTCACGTGAAATTTATTTTTGAACTTCGGTAGATTTTTTTGATGACGTTATTTTCTAACATAAATAATAATAATAAACTAGTCATTAAACGGTTTTTTTATCCTTTTTTTAAAAAATTCTATTCACACGAAAAATAATATTATAAAAAAAATTATGCCCAAACCATCTAAAAGTTCAGTCGTTGCTACCAACGACAATAATTCTAACAATAATGACAAATCATCATCAACAACAACAAATACAACTTCTCGTAAGACAATAACATCAAATACGAAACAAAAATCAGAATCAACTACAAAAATTTCTTCGACCTCTTCTACTACAAAAACAAAGAAAGTTTCCTCTAATCCTAAAAGGGCACTTAGTGCTTATATGTTTTTTGTTCGCGAAAATAGAGAAAAGGTTAAAGCTGAAAATCCTGGTGCAAAATTTGGTAAAAAAGTTTTTTTTCTTGTAATATGGCTATTTTACGATTATATACCATTACATATTTTTCATTGTTCCTTTTTTTTATTAGGTGAAATTGCAAAACTTGTTGGTGAAAAGTGGAAAGCTTTGAATGACAAAACCGTAAGTATGTCCCTCGATAATTATCTCATTAATATTAAACATTATAAATTAATATTAAACGCTATAACATAATTATCGAATTTAGTTTTACAACGAAATGGCTGCTGACGATAAGAAACGTTACGAAAGTTGGTCTCATTTTATTTTATTTTTATTTATTTATTTATAAATTTATAACAAAACAATTAAAAAATTTTTCCTTGACTTTAAAAAAGATGAAAAGGCAGTAACAAATAATGTGAGTTTGGACGCGTTTTTGTTATTAGATTTTGATTATTGGCTTAATTATAATTATAATTATTATTATTATTAGGACACTAGTAAACAACCTCCTTCTAAGACACAAGGTAAAAAGTCATCCAAGTCAAACAGTAGCAGTAAAGCTTTAGAAGAAGATGAAGAATTACCAAAAGAAGATTACGAAGAGTAAAAAAACAAAATTATTTCTTTATGGCTTCTTTTTTTAATTAACCCTTTAGAATTGCTTCCTACCTACCACTATCTGCTATTATTCAATTATTAATGTTATAAATATAAATAAATCGTATTTATAAAGTTTATAATAATTTGAGATTCTTCATTGATACGGCGATATTATAATAAACCAAATTAGAAAGGTTCATTCGCGAGATGTTGATCTGCTCTCTGACCTTGCAGAGAATCTTTTATACGAAATTATGATAATTATAATGAATGGCCTTTTAAAAAACGGCATTTTATGACAATTATGTTACACGATGTTTTGCAAAATATAAGTAGTTAGTTAGTTCCATTAAATATGGCTGTGTCTCTTATTACTATCATCGCTTGAGATAATTATCATATTATTAGCAAATCATCGGTTTTTATTTATCCAATCAGTCGGTAAAAAAAAATAATACAACGATGGAATTTCTCAAATTCATATATAATGCATGAAATTATGTGAGAAAAAATTTTATACAAATTTTTTTGTAGCATTATGAATTTGATTGATTTTATTGGTTTGGTATATATTAATATACTGATCAACTGACTTATTATTATATTTATTTATAATATATATGATACATTAATAATTAAATTAAGAAAATAATTTATTTATGTATAGGAAGTTACACAATATACCTAATTTGGTAGTGATGTGATAAAGTTATGGCGCTCAACAAATAAAAAGTCTAATAAGGGGTAAGTAATGTTGCAATCTTTTTCAGCGGGGCAGTCAGTAGTTTTTCTGAATTAGAAAAAAAATAGTGTTAGCTTTAGATTTTCCATATAAATGCCAATAACTACTATATAAAATAATTTTTTTTAAAATATTTATTATTAGTATATTATTATTTTATTACAATTTTTAATAAACATTTTCAAAGCTTTTTTTGTGTGTAATTAACAATGACAAGTCGCCCCAGAACCAACATTAACAAAGATTCAAAGAATCAACTATCACATAATAATAATGTGTCAACACACAATCCTCTCAACGGAATAAAGGCTGGTAATGTAAATTTAATTAATACATTAAATTTGTTCATTAAGCAAAAAAAAATTTTTCTTCAAAAAATATACATATATATACATACTGGTGTAGAACATCTATATAGACTTATTTTATAAAGATTTAAGAAGAGTTAACTTTGAAATAGTAAAAGTTAACACACTACTCCTTCTAATGCTATTTAATCTCTTAACATAACCACTATAAAATTTAAACAATTTATTTAACTTTTAAAACTTGGACAAATCAATTGACAAACTATTTTTTTTTTGTTAAGGTGATTTCGATCCACATAAGGTGATCAAAGTTACTGCTACCGACGGAAAAAGAGCTGAAGATTTCGAGCTGGCTTACAATGTTACAAAAATAATTGGTAACGGTTCTTTCGGTGTAGTATTTCAAGCAAGAATAATTGACAATAGTGAAGATGTTGCCATTAAAAAGGTTTTACAGGATAAACGTTTCAAGGTATATATATTTATTTATTAAATTATATATATAATATATTTATTTATTTATTTATTTATTTATTATTATCTCTCATCCTATCTATTATAGAATCGTGAACTACAAATCATGAAATTAGTATCGCATCCTAATATAGTGGGTTTAAAAGCGTTTTTTTATTCTAGTGGTGAAAAGGTTTGCAATTTAATTAATTATTGAAACATTAAAATTATTAAAATTATTAATTTATTGATTATTATTATATGAATATATATAAATATATGAAAATATATATATTATTATATTATCATCGTTATTACCATCATCATGATTGTCATTCATTGTTGTTTTATTAGAAAGACGAAGTTTTTTTGAACCTTGTACTTGAATATGTTCCTGAGACTGTTTATAGAGCATCAAGAGTTTACGCCAAGAGCAAGCAGACAATGCCAATGCTCTATATAAAACTATACATGTATCAACTTTTCAGATCACTTGCCTACATCCATTCTCTTGGCATCTGTCATCGCGATATTAAGCCTCAGAATTTATTACTGAATCCGGCCTCAGGTGTATTAAAATTATGTGATTTCGGAAGTGCAAAGATTTTAGTGCATGGTGAACCAAATGTTTCTTATATTTGTTCCAGATACTACAGAGCACCAGAGTTGATCTTTGGAGCAACAAATTACACAACAAATATTGGTAGATAATTATATATATATATATATATTTTAAATTTCACTTCTATAATTCGTTTAATTAGTTAATCAGTTAATTAATTATATATATATATATATATTTTAGATGTTTGGTCAACAGGTTGTGTTATGGCTGAATTAATGTTAGGTCAACCTTTATTCCCGGGTGAAAGTGGTATCGATCAATTGGTTGAAATTATTAAAGTTCTTGGAACACCAACAAGAGAACAAATTAAAACTATGAATCCAAACTACATGGAACACAGGTTCCCTCAAATAAAACCACATCCATTTGCAAAGGTATTAATTTATTGGTTGATTAGTTAGTCAATTATTATTAATTAAAAATTTTGTAATTTTATTAACTATAACGCCATTTTATTGGTTTTGTTTAAAAACAGGTCTTCCGTGCTAGAACACCGCCAGAAGCTATTGATCTCATATCCCGTCTTTTAGAATATACTCCATCCAATCGATTAACTGCGATTGAAGCCATGTGTCACCCATTTTTTGATGAACTTCGAAACCCTGAAACAAGGCTTCCAAATGGAAAAGATTTACCGAGACTTTTTGATTTCACACCACAAGGTATTTAAAACCGGATAATAAAATAAATAATTAATAATATTTGCATCTTTATTTTTTTTTTTTTTCAAGTTAAATATTTATTGATAATAATTATATTAATTTATAATATTGCAATTATAGAATTATCAATTCGACATGATCTTATTCATCAACTAGCACCACCGCATGCAGAAGCCGAACTTTCTCGTAGAGGAATTGATGTTCACAATTTCCAACCACTACCACAGAGTCAAATGCGAGCAACATTGGATTGATAATGTTATTATTATATTTATGGTTTCTCTCTCATGTATATTTATATATATTTTAGATTTACATATACAGCATAATATTTATATATATTAAGAAAAAAAGGAAAAGATAAATTATATCCTCACTCAATTCTCATTAATTACTACCTAATTATTATTATTACAATTACTTTAATTTACTTTAATTTTTTTTTAATTATAACTTAATTAGAATAGAAAACTATAATTTGATTTATCTTTACCTTTTTTTATTTCTCAGTATTTTTATTATTGTTGGTGTTTTTTTGGGTGGTATTTTTATAACATTATCATTGATGAAGATGAAAAAGATTATATTGAGAGAGAGAGAGAAATATTATGGGATATTTGTTTCTTGACAATCTATTTCAATTTATTTATATAATATCATATTCTTATTTATATTTTATTCTTATTTTTATTATAAATATTTGCATTATTTAGTTTAGTGTCACTTTATTTTTTTAAACAATGGTTTTATTATTAATGATTCTTATTATATTATAGTAAGCATAATAATAATGATTATGAGGATTGATGGAGTAATGTAATTATTGAACAGTTAATATATTTTTATAATTTTTATTTTATTATTTTAATTACTCATTTGTAAACCCTCTTTTTTAAATATAATTTTTTTTGAAAATCTGTAAGTTTTTTTTTCTTGATTATTTCACTTTACACATATATATACATACATATATATATGAATATATATATATAATATTTAATGTATACAAAAAAAAAAGAGCAGCAATTAATCTTTAGTTTGATGAATATTATAACAAATTCCTTTTCTTTATATATATATATTTTATATTTTACTTTTTTTTTTTTCAACCAATATTAGATTTACAAATACAATATATAAAAAACAAACAAAATAATTATTATATAAATATTTTATTTATTTATTTATTCCTTTTTATACAATTTTTTTTGAATATACTGCAATGATAAAGCATTATAATAATTATTAAGTTATCATTATCCATCCAACCAACCAATTAATAACAGGGAGGAGCATCAGAAAATCAAATTTTAATTGTTATATAATAATCCTATCATTAATATATATAAAATGAAAAAAAAGTTCGAGTAAGGAAGATTTATTATTATTATAATATATTAAATCTATATGAAAAAATTCTATCATTGTAAATTAATTAATATATATATTAAATTATAATTATTAGAAGGTTAGAAGTGGACTAAGATTGAATGAATCGATTTTAAGTAGTAGTGATATAATGAATGATTTTAATATATTATTATTTATTCTTGAAAATTTTTTTAATAAATGTTTATATCATTATCTAAAAATGAGATTAAAAAAATTAATTTATGCTTCATTTCTCAAACATCTTACGAATCATTTCTGTAGAGTATGATTTTGGTCTTTCAATTGGGAATCCACTATAAATATACAAGATTATTTGAAAAATATATATAATTAAAAACATTGTATAAAAGTCATAATTTTACAAAGTCACCACCTCCACCACTACTTAAAATAAATAAATTACTTACAAAGCTCTATCCCAAATACTCTGTGATAAAACACCCAAGGCTCTAGAAACTCCAAATAAAACTGTATAATAATTTTGCTCATTTAATCCATAATATTGTAATAATACACCAGAATGTGCATCAACATTTGGCCATGGGTTCTTGGTTTTACCATGCTTCTTTAATACACCTGGTACAATGTTGTATAATTGTGAAACTAACTTGAACAATCCATAATCGGGTAGATTTTTTAATGCAAATTCTCTTTGTGCTTCATATCTTGGATCCTATTTAAATGGACATATAAGATGTGAGAGAAAAATAAAGAGATGGAATAAAAAATATGTAATAAGAAAGAAATTAAATAAAAGCTTACGGTTTTTCGAAGTACAGCATGACCATATCCAGGTACAACTTTACCAGATTTCAATGTTGACCAGACATAATCTTCTACTGTTTCATCACTTGGTGATTCTCCGATCTCATCTCTCATTTTATGAATCCAACGTACAACTTCTTGATTTGCAAGACTTTTTTTTTAAAAAAAAATTTTTTAAATGATGAAAATCAAAATAACATTGAAAACAATGATAATAATTACCCGTGTAATGGGCCAGCCAAACCATCAAGTGATGCAGCAAATGATAAATAAGGGTCAGATAACGCACTTCCAACGAGTCTCTAAATTAAAATAAATTAAAATAAAATAAAGCCAAAAATATGTATATATATGTATGTATGTATGTATGTATGTATGTACATAAATTTTATATTTACCATTGTATGAGCAGAAACATTCCCACCTTCATGATCTGAATGAATAGTAAGATAAAGCCTCAACAATTCAATAAAACCTTTATTGTCAGCATAGCCAAGTACTTTTGCTAAATTATATGAATAATCTTTATCTGCTTCTATAGGGGCAACCTTCCCATCTTTATATATATTTCTATATATTCTACCAACAACATTAGGTAATTTTGAAATTAAATCCATGGCATCTTCGTAAACATATTCCCAATATTCATTTTTATTTACTCCAGTTTGATAGGCTTTAGCAAAATTAGAATCATGTTGTAAAGCTGTTACCGCTAAGGAAAATTGTGACATTGGATGTAATGTATTTGGACATCTGTCAATAAGGTCTTCAACAAAAGATGGTATAACGGATCTGGCTGCCCATTCAGCTGATAAAGCAGTAACTTGTTCTTTGGTTGGTACTTCACCAGTTACCAATAACCAAAAAAGACCTTCAGGCAACGGTTCCTCGCCGCCACTTTCATCAGCTTTAGGTAAAAGTCGTTGGCAGTCAGAAATGGTCAGGTTACGAAATCGAATACCTTCATCAGGATCTAAGACTGAACCTTCCCAAATCAACCCTTTTATACCTCTCATTCCTCCATACACCATATCAACCGACACTTCTCCTAAAATTTCTTGACCATATTTTGATTTAACTAATTTTATCTCTTCTAGTTTTTCTGGAATCAGTTCTGCAAGACGTTCTTTAAGTGTCTAATTAAAAAAAATAAAGCAAATTTTGAATGTTTATTTTTGTAAACGAGATCAGTTGAAGAAAAAAATTTACTTTTGGTCCTTTTGGTCTTGGGGAAGAGTAGAATCGAACAGCATTACTGATTGTAATTGGCAATATTTGTCTTATTAAAACTTTATTATTTGTGGGTAACTATTGTTTTTATTAGGAAGTAGTAATTGGTTAATCAGTAAAAAAAATCAAATAAATTATGGGATAAAATTCTCTAACCTTTGATATGTTAGCACGGGAAACAGCACGTAAAAAAGATAAAGACGTCAACATGATGTTATATTATATATTTAAATTAAATAATCTATATTATTTTTTTATAAAAAAAAAAAAAAACTAAATATTTATATTAATATACAAATAACGATTATCAAAATCTCGATTTTTTCTTCGGGATTGGCCGGAACAAAAAAATCATTCCTTGTATGAAAGAAAAAAAACATCTGAATTTTTTTTTAAAATATAAAGGTCATTTATTCATTGTGAAATTGCAAATATTTTTTTTAAGATTAGATTAATTAAATAAATCTATCCTCACAAACACAAATTAATTTGTGCTTTGTTAATTAATATAATAAGAAAAATATTGCTTTTATTATTTCGGAACATAATGAAAAAGGAGGAGAACAACAACAATCAATAGTAGTATTGCTAAAAAGCTAAAAAGCTACAAAATGTACAAAACATGATAAAAGTAATCATTGGTATTAGTATAACAATAGTAAAGAATCGAAATAAAAAAACCATATATGCTGCGTCACATTACCAAATCAATCAAAAATGGAATTCGCGTAAAAAATGGGCCGGGTAAATTACAAATAACTATTATATTGTGGAACTTTACACACATGCTCATCAAAAGTTGAAGGGAATCTTTTGACATGCATTACAGTACATATTCTATAACGGTCTTCTTATTAAATTTCCTATAGTATATAACGGTCTATCTCTGAAATTATAACGGCCAATGATCATGATCTGAAGCTATAATTACTAGACTAGGAAAATTTTCTACAACATCAAATTAATAATTAGTTACGAATTAATCTGAACGCATTATATTTCTCTTGTTGTTATATACAATATGATTATTATAACAACAATAAATCTGTAACATTATTTCAATATCTTTATAACATTACTTTATACAAATGTCATTATTACTTATATCTATATCGTAATTTATCATCACTCAAAATGGTTATAATTCATAATCGAAGAATCATTATAACATCATTATGACTTACTATAATATTGATTCATAATATAGTTTTACAGTAAATATGATATAATAACAGCCTTCCAACTTTCTTATGACTTCATGATGTTAATGCCTTCAAAAATGTATACAAAGACATCAAATCAATGGATCTTGAAACATATTACAAATTATTATAATAATTAATTGTATCACATTATGAATTTATCACATGATTACGATCTGTAAATTCTCTATAAGTGTTGTATGTGAAATTGAAATATTATTATGGAATGGGTGAAATTCTGATTGGCTAATTTGAATTTCACATATGTAAATTTGAATTCCACATATGTGAATTGTGAATTCACATAATTTCATTTTCACGTACAACAACGCCAAAACAGAATAGAGAGTGTGCCGATTTTATCATTTATGGAATGATTAGAAAATATCACATGACCAACCAATTTTATTGCCTCTACCGCAGAGGCGCAGTAAGTTACGGGCTGGTACTTAGTCCCACAAACTTTTTATTGGTCGCGTAGATTTTCAAAATTCTCCAAAAATGGAAATGCAACACCCCAAAATAAATCGTGTATTTGAAGCCAAGATCTTCCTCTACAAAATCACGATTTCATCTCATTGATATGTCATGTTGTTGTGGGGAATTTGAGCTTCAAAGTTGCACAAGTTTTACTGAATTTACTATGTTTAGCCCTAAAATGACGTGTTACACACAAAAAAGTTTAACATCAAAAATATATAGAAACAAAATAAAATTTCTATTGCAATCTTTCGTCACGTGATTTTTCAGATGAACGGGAAAAGAATTATCTTTATTATTAAAAAAAATACAAAGAACAACTAAGTTCATTTATTTTAAATTTAATAAATAGGCTATTGTATCGATCAAAGAAATGTGCAATTTGCAAAATATTCTAACGAACATTTATCAATGATTTAATAGTTTGTGTATATACATTATGATGTTAAACAAACTCGCTAAAATTTGATCCTGAAATTTTTGTTAGTACAAGTATTCACTTTATCTGGTATTGTTGCAGCATGCCTCATACAGCTTGAGGTAGGATGTCAGATTGAAACACACTGGATAATAAATAAATGGTGTGAATTTGATTAGTGAAGCAATTCATTTGGAATGTTCAACATGAAATTTCAGAATTAAAAGTTTATCAAGAAAGAATCAGAAAAAGGATGAGGATGAAGCATAATTGCAATGATGACAACAGTAATAGTGGCAATTTAGTATAATAGATTATAAACAAATAACTTTAATAATTATGAATGTTGTGCGTGAATTTGGAATCCACGCGCGTGAAATTCAAATTAGCCCAATCAGAATTTGTATTCAAACACCCACCCCAAAATTTAATTAATATTAATATTCAAATTGTCGCAAATTTGATTTTTCACGCACAACATGAACATTTAAATTAGACTTCATTTCTAAGAAGTATCTGTAACATTAATGGTAGCAAAAATAATAATCCAACCAACAACAATTAATAAACAATATTATAATTTAGTAGTTGGGTTTTTCTGGCTCTCTATTTTCAAGAATCGCATATTCTGTTATAATTTACTTGTTGATTTCTTTCTTGTTCTCTTTTCTTCCAGGAATCATGTATTTTATGTGTTTGTGCAATCAGTTTTTCTTCATCAATACCATCTTTGATACTTTGTACTATTTTATCAACAGTAGCGGAAGGATTTGGGTATAGTTTATCATCACGAAATCTTAAAAATTGCCATGATGATGAAGAAGGATTACAAACCACTTCAACTAATCTTTCATCAAGTTTCTCATTATTATCAATCCATCTTTTAGGAAAAGAGGAAAAAAACAGTTTATATTAATTCATCAAATAATTATTAATATCATATCATTCAAAAGGTTTAAAAAAATGCTTACATTTTCCATTGTTCATAAGTTACATTCATATCATTAAAATATTCATATCCATTATTTCCTTGTTGAAATAGACAAAATCTGGGCATTTCTTTATTTTGATCATGTTCAACTTTTAAAAGAAAATCAATAGAATTTTTACTTGGTGATTTCCATTTTAAGCTTTATTTAATAAAATTAATTAGTTATTGCAAAATTATTATATTATATATATATTAATTTATATATTACATTTTTTCATTAGTTCCCATTTTATAACCTGACTTTGCAGATGTGAAAATTAATCCATCATTCTTATGTTTTAATTTTGAAGTTATTTCTTCAATAACTTTCTCTAGATCATAAGATTTCTCCATCTCTTTAAAAATGAACCTTTACATAATCATTATTATTAGTGAGGAGAAAAAATTAAAATAAAAATATGTTATGTATGTACTTGAGTGGTTGATTATTTGCAAGCTGTGGGTTATTTCTTAACATTAGTTTATTATAATCTTTTATAAGAACGAGTAAATGCTAGTTACCATATGTGAAATTATAAATGTGGTTAGAAAATTTATTTTATTATTTAATATATGGTAAGTAGTCAATCATTAAAATAAAAAAACTTACGCCTAATCTTTCATCAAGAGTTTTTTCCATTATATTTAATCCTTTATCAATTAACATGTCAAAGGCAAGAAGTATCAGTGTACACTACACATATTAAATATAAATTATAAACATACATTATAAACATAAATTATAAAGATAAATTATAAATATATAAATATGTATATTGTGGAAAACTTTTACTTACAGATCCATCAGGTTCAATATCATAAACTAGTTCACCATCAACTAAACTATCCCAATTGGGTGTATTAGGATCAACATTCATACAATTTGGAGCAGGAAACTTTACACTTGATAGATGAAAATAATGATTCATTCGATCAATCTACATATATAAAATTAAATATATTTTATGAGTCAAGAGTGAAATATCTTTTCTATTAAAAAATAAATAGTAATAATAATAAATACCAAATATACATCTTGATCATCATTTTTACCCATTCTAATATATAAAAGGACACGTATCCCATCAGATTTTTCACATACATAATAACTATATACACATTATTCTTAAATATCTTCATAATCAAGCCAAATCAAATAACAACAACAACAACAATAATTACTCTTCTTTTTCAAGTTCAATTAAGTGTTTTTGTGTGAAATTGACAGGTTGAGATCCTGTAAAATCAACAATTATTGATATATTTTGCTTTCATTCATTAAATTATAAATATTACTATTAAAATTATTGTGTTATTATACCAGGAAAACTCCTAAAATATGTATATATAAAATTCGTTGTCACAAAAATATAAATAAAGAACCAACTGATCATGTAATATAGACCAACTTACATGGCTGCACCAATTATTGAATTTATCCTTTTTTTTAATATTTCAGCATGAGAAAAATCAATTTGATTTCCTGGTACAACAGGAAATGGTGAATTGAAATTTTGTAACATGCTAAACAATAAATGAGTGTTATTGTTATTTTGTCATTGTAAACAACTAGAACCGAAAAAAAAATATTTAAAATAATAGTAATATTACTATGCTCTATAACGGTTATAAAGAGAATGTACTTTATATATGGATGTACCATGTAACTGAACTCTCTTAACCGAACCGCAGTTCAACTTTATTTGACCGCAATTTGTACTATTACATCATAAACAACTGACTTTGTGAAATTTGTCATTTATATAAAGTTTTCTTACACATTGAAGATCCAACTATGCCTTTTTTGGTAATCTGAATTGTATTTCCCAAAGATGATGTAATTAATTAAAATTTATATATACCGTGAGAAATTCTTTTATAATGATTTCTTCGTATCAAAAAAATAATAATTAAATGAATTACTTTACTAGTACCAAGGATGAATTAGAAATAATCATAAATTGTAAGGATAATGACCATTAATTATAAGTACTTTACGCAACCACTTCCAATTTTAATCCGATTAAAAAAATCCTCGGGAATCCATGCTGAAAATACATCAGGTATAGAAGCATTCTAAAAAAATTTCTTTCCCATCAGATGGAAAAAGAAGATAAAAAAAATCTAATTTGAATTATGAATTAATAATTTGTACTTACTTTCCCAAATATTTATTGTATTATATAATAATTTTACAACTCGAGATAAGATAAATAAATATGTTATTATTTACTATATGGGCGGACATTCCTTCTTTTATTATTTAAGAAATTTGTACTTGCATTGAAAATTTTGCATATAAATATGACTCGAATTCATCGTTTATTTTTTTTCCCTTAACAACAAATTTAAATTTCTTCCCATAATAAAATTTCTCACAAATACTAAAATCAATAATAATAATAATACTCCGAGAGTAATTGTTATTGTTATTGTCAACAACAACTTTAAATTTTTTTTTATTCAACTCTCTAATTCAACCACAAAAACTAAACTAAAATCTAGAAAACATGACTTCAACTGTTGCACAAACCGTCGTCTCTCAAATTGTTGTCGTCAAGGACACTACTAATGCCACCGCAAAACCCGAAAATGCAACCAATTACTGCATCATTATGTAAAAAAGGATCATTCATTGTGGGAATGGTTGGAGGTTGAGATATGTAATTTATTACGATCACGTTATAAATATTTTTTTAATAGGGAAGAAATGTCCTTTATAAATTTGTTGTTCAAATGATTCTTTTTTAAAAAAAGAGATAACTTTAAAAATATAAAATTTTAAAAAAAATTCAAAAATTTTTTTAAAATTAAAAAAAAAGTCCTTTATTTTATTATATTTTTTTTTGATTATATTATTATTTCCAATATAATAATTATTACTTTGTATTCTTATTAGTTCTTTTTTATATAATAAAATATAGTTATCTCAAAAAAAAACTTGTGCGCGTTATTATAACTGTGAATCTTTGCTTGAATATTGACATTAGTTTGATGTGTTAAAACATATTAACAGGAATCAGAGTTTATAACGTGGGAGATTAGAGTTGGAGATTAAAACTTTTAAGCAGGGTCCTCTTCATATTTTGAGTAGTTTTATCAAACAAATGGGTAAAAATATCATTATTTTTGTTTGTATAGCTCCAAAAAGCATTAAATCCTTTAAAAGGTAAGTTATAATGTGATGTTGATAATTTGATAATGATAATAATGAAACAGTTCATTTGTTAGAAGAATTGAAAGTATACAAATTAGTAATGTTTTTTAATATAATTAACACCTTACATTTGTAACATATTGTTGTATCTATCGTGACATTGCCTATCCAAATAGTAGCAGAAAACAATTTTATAGGCGCAGTGCTTAAACAACAATAATAAAAAGATTATCATTTTTTTTAGAGTATACAAATCTTCATTCTCCCAGAAAAATACAACTATAGATAAATTTCATAGTTTTTTGGTATTCAAAATGGCTGAACTTGATTCTGATTGGTATTTCGGTTCGAGAATATCTAATGAACCTAAGAGTGATTATTCTGAATCTAGTGACGAGACCTTCATTGACACTGAAAATAGAGCGGTTGACAACAATACTAATGATACATCCATCAAAGACACAGATTTAAATTCCGAGTTTCAGTCGCTTATTATTGATCTAGATTCAAGCTCTGGCGAAGAAAGCGATTCTTCACTTGAAGAAGTTATTAGTCTAAAGCTAAATAAATTAAAACAAGAACAAATGAGACTTACCTTGTTGAAGGAAAAATCATCAGCCACTGCTGAAACACTACACGTGGACTTGAATGAAGTAATAATGATAAATGACCCTTTGAATAATCCACAAATATTATCGTCATCATCACCTGATTTGGAAGACCATGATAATAATAGTAATAATACTGCATATCAAATTCCTGAATTTCCATCATGTCCACTTGGATCAAATAAAGAATCTGCTATTCACATATTAAAAACTTCAAAGTTCAAACAATCAACAAAATTATTTGCGCCACCTATATCAAATGTTAATGATGGATCCGCTTGGATACCTAAATCAAAACGATCACGACTTCCAATTGAAACCCGTAAGGAAGATATTATCAAAATCATTCGTGACAACAGAGTAATTGTTTTAAGTGGTAGTACTGGTTGCGGAAAGGTAATTCATTAATTATATATACTTTAAATCACTAAAACATCTATTTATGAAAATGAAATAATAACTATAATATTTAATAATAATAATTAGTCTACTCAAGTGCCACAATATATATTAGATGATTGTTTACAAAGAGGTGCCCCTGTTAACATAATTTGCACGCAACCGGTAACTTTGCATACAAATTTTTCATTTTAAAAATTTTTTTTATCAGTTTAATTTCTCCTGACCCTCATACAATTTAATATTAGCATCATATTGGTGCAATTTCTTTAGCACACCATGTTGCATTAGAAAGAAATACTAAACTTCATGGTCAAGTGGGATATCACGTTAATGGTAAATGTGGTTATTCGGCTATAACAAGATTACGTTATGTTACTACAATGATTTTATTGGAAATGTTAAAGACAGACAGATATTTGGCCTCATTTACTCATGTCATTATGGATGAGGTAAGTTTATAAGAATAAAATTTTAATGTTCATCCAGTAAAGTGCAAATCAATAATTAAAACTTTTTTTTTTTTTACCAGATTCATGAACGTAATATAGACGATGATGTGATGATGTCTCATCTATGTGTTATATTAAGAAAAAACCCTGCTTTGAAATTAATAATAATGTCGGTAAGTTTATTTTTTTCAACAATATATACATATAAAAATAATTTTTATTTTTTATAAGTTATTTATTCCGATTCTTATATTCTAGGCTACAATGAATGTTAAAAAATTTGCCAATTATTTTCATGAATTTGAAGCTGAAAAGGATGGTTTTGTTAATGAAATACCATGGATAGATATTTCTAAAAAAGCTTTTCCTGTTGATGTGTTTTATTTAGAGGATGTGTATCAAGCATTAGATACACCTCTTTCACAGAGAGGTGCCATAATGAATGACCCCAAAAAACCTTTTATGATGCAAGAACATTGTGATGTTTTTATAAATTGGATATTTCAATGTCATGTACAAACTCCTGCTGATGAGGCATTTTTGGTTTTTTCACCTGGTATTGCTATAATTGCTGAAGTAGTAAGTTTCTATAATTTTTTATTTGTTTATCAGTATTTCGTCATGTTACTTAAAATAATATAAATTGATTATATTTTTTTATTTTTATTTTTTTTGTAAAGGAAGGTCGATTGATGTCCCTTGATGAAAACTATAGGCAAAATAAATAAATAAATATATTTATTTACAAACTTTTAGATTTATACACTCTCTATAAAAAAAATAATTATATATATTTGTAAAAATTAGGTCAATGTTTCCTTATACTGATGGGAAGCCCACTCCTGCAATCTCATTGATTAAACTTCATTCAACCATTACTATTGATGAACAATGTTTAGTTATGCAGAGGCCAAAACCATGCTATAGAAAAGTAATGTACTAAATTTTTGGGTTTCTTATACATTTTATTTTATTTAATGATTTAATAATTTTAATAATTTAGATAATATTGGCAACGAATATTGCTGAAAGTTCTATCACTGTTCCTGATGTTTGTATAATATTTGATTCTTGTTTGCGTAAGGATTTACTTTATGATAAAGAAACTAGATGTTACAGTTTAAATGAACAATGGATAAGTAAAGATTGTGCCGAGCAAAGGAGAGGAAGAGCTGGAAGAGTTGGTCCTGGTGTGGTAATGTATATATATATATATATATAAATAAGAAATTGTATTGAATTTTTTTTACCTTGGTATTTTATAATATCAATTTTATTTTCAAATTAGATTTATCGATTTGTACCCAAAGAATTCTTTGAAAATCTTCCTGATGAAAGGACACCTGAGATCTGTAGAACACCACTTAATTCCTTACTTTTACGATGCATATATGGAAATCTTGGCGATCCTCAAGAATTGTTATCTCATTGTATTGATCCTCCTGATGATACAGCTATTGAACATGCATTAGAAGATTTGGAAGTAACTGGTGCTGTTATCAAATCAAAAAAAAATATTAAAGGATCTGATGATTGGGTTCAAGGTGGTCTTGTTGCATATGAATATGAAATTACTCGTCTTGGTATAATTTTGGCACAAGTTCCTTTGGACCTTCATTCTGGTCTATTAGTAATTTATGGTGCAATCTTTGGTGCTTTATATGATTGTATGATTATTGCTGGTAAATCATCAATTATCAGTTATATATTAATAATATATATACGCTTTATAATATAAATTAAACTTATTCAAAATTATCATTTCATTATAGCAATATTGCAAAACAAAGGAGTCATTGTTGAATCTCCAAATCAAGAAATAGCTACAAGTGCAGCATTAAAAAGATTTCACTTGGATTTACCTGACTGTCAACCATTACATGGTGGATCTGATTTAATAGCACAATTACGTGGATATCTGTTATGGGAAGAAACTACACAAAATGATGATGATTTTGATCAAAGCAAGGAACTAACATGGTGTCAACAACAATCCATTAGCCTTTATTGGATACGAGAAATACAAGATCTTGTCATCACTCTTCGAGAATCTTTATCTCATCAAGGCTTATGTTCGCCTGCTACAAAAGAAGAGAGAGACAAAACGCATAGAAATCATATATTTAATCCTAATTTAATTGACAATATACATGCAAGCAATGGCAATGACCTTGAAGATGAAGAGGAGAAATCAGGAACAAGTCAAGAAACTACATATTCAAGAGATATCAAACAAGCAATTCTATTTCTTGATATGGCAGCAGCATCTGAAGAAATTTCAAGTCTAAAAAAAAAAAAATCAAGTTCAGAATTGCCAGAACTCAATTTGCATAACAATCATTCAAACTCCAATAGTCGGATTTGTGAAACACCTAGAATTATACAAAAAAAAACAAATCCTTGGATGAATGTGTTTGATTATGAATATGAAATAACATCAAACCAAGTCAAATTGAAAAGAGAACCTAATATTCTATTAATCAACATTTTACTGGTAACTGTTTTTCATCATAATATGTTGCGAGTTGTACCAAACATTGACAGTCACACATTTAAAAATTGCCCAGAGAATTTTAATCGAGGTCATACAATTGAATTTTTGGCTAGAATTCTTCCTCCAAAATCAAAAATTATAGAAACATTTGAAAAAGATATTGGAATAGTGCAAAAAATATCACATCCCGATAATGAGCAGTTTAGCTCTGATGCAGAGTTTGAATCTTGTTATATTGAATTTGCAAAACCTTGTAAACTTTTATGGACACATTCAACTATCAGAAATGTTCCAACGCTACCAGATGCTGTCTTTTTGGCACATAAATATAGTAACGTAAAAAATTACATCTGGACTGTTGACAACTCTATGGTATCTAACCCATCACCTGACACATCATCATCTGACACATCATCATCTGACACATCATCATTTGACACATCATCATTTGACACATCATTTAACTCAACATTGTCTAATTCAACTTCTAATCCAGCATCATCTAGTAGTAATTTTGAGGATACAAAAGAGGTAAGATTTTATACAGTTAACGGAAGTCCAGAAACTTCAGTTGCGCTTTCACCAATATTTCACAAGCAGTCAACTAGAGTATTTGCTTCAAAATCTTCATTATTTTTTCCACTAATAATTACACCTGCAGAATATAAGTATTATACAGTTTGTGCAGGAAAATTACTTGCGGTAGACCATGGAAAATTAGATGTTGGAGAGTATATTACATGTCTTATAGCACCTTTAAATTCCGAAAAAAACGTGGGGGATATCATTCTTGCATTATTTGCCAACAAGTTAATCAACAATGATCCATTGTGTGGATGGCATGTTAATGTAAATTTGACACAACATCCCATATTCGATCAAAAACCATTAGATTTTGATTCAAGATTAATTGATTCCTTTAGATATTTTCTGAAACAAGCATTGGTTGAAGAGCAGCCAATGGTAAATGAATCATTATCAGAAAATCTTTTTGATGATGATTTTTTATCGTTCACATCATCATCATATTCAAATAATTGTGAAAACTTGACTAATATTTGGCGAACATGTAAAATCACACCAGATCAGGCAGGAAAAGGGCTCATAAGAACAATTTTATTACTTATGTAAAATACAAAGATATAAAATGCATATATAGATAGATTTTTTTTTGCATATCTTTTAGAACTTTTAGAGCTTGAGATATATATATACATATATAGATTCATTTAGCTATTATAATTTTTGTTGATTTTTTCACAGCTTAATATGGATACAATTATGAACACTTGTATTTTATAATTCAAAAATCTTTTTGTTCAGTCAAATATTGGTTAATGTAAAATTCATTCCGAGCTTTTAATTAAATATTAATATAAAATTTACCAAACCTACCTAACCCGACCCCTGTTCTTTGTTTTGATTGGGTAGAAATGAGACGATCTTATACTAAAAAGGATAGAGAGGTTTAATGTAACCGAGTTATTTGGGCAATGTACATCTTACTGAATATCCTTTTTGGAAAGGCTATTTCTATTAGATGGCTTACTTTACAACGTAAATTAATTAATTTGTTTGACAAAAAAAAATTGCGAAATTTAAAGAGAAAGTCTCGATTTTTATTTTATAATTAAAAAGTGAATTCATTTGGTAATATTTTGTCAAATAGAAATTAATATGTTGTGTAGATATAAGAAAAAAAGTTAACAATGAACTGATTTTTAGTTTTATAATGATCAGCCAATTCAAACATATTGTTGCAGGCTAGCAACAATAAATTGTGCATCTTTGGTACGCTCCTTAATATAATTTGCTACTTCGAAGATCCAAAGTTGCATCAATTTCATATTGGTGTTGGTTCATAATAATGAAGTGTAAACATCAATGCTAAAGAACTTAATAAAAATTTTTATATATAAATTTATGAAACTTCCTGTGTTTTTAAAAGAGAAATAAATACCTTTTCGCCACTAGATAAAATTGACATCTTTCTATTGATGGTATTACACAAAATATAATACCTTCGGAGAAAAGATACAAGCTATCACAACATTCAAGTTCTGCATTTACACCAAGCGTCAACTTCTTTTAATTTTTTCGAAATAAATGTGGATCCCATATACATGAATTCGTCTGATCTTCTTTGCGTAACTCGTCATATTTTATCACGTATTTATTTTCAAGTTATGAACATATGAGACATGCTATAATGTCCGTAGGCACAGCATGTCTCACTCATTTCATACAATTTCATACAATAATCCTGTAAAAAAAATATTCCGTTATTTAGTTTCAATTCCAAAAATACCCTGGGAATATTCCATAAATTTGTAACGTCAATAAATTACAATATGATGATTTCTGGAGTTTTAAAACACGGATCATTTCACTTTTTATTTTCTATATAGAACAAGGTGGTTTTTTTATGTTGTTAACAATCTGATTATCAAATGGAATAACATTTCATATAAAAGTAAATATCTTCTTATGTTGATATTATAAATTACTAATACTAAATTTTTTTTTTAGGTGATCGACATACCACTTTTTTTTTCAAAAAATAAAAATGTTTAAAAAAATTATAAAGGTGAATAAATTATATACAATAAGTTATTAATATTATAATGTAATTTATTGTTTAGTCAATTATTAATTAAATTCTTTTTAAATAATAATAATAATAACAATAATAATAAAGACACAGAATTATAACAGAAAATGTATACAAGACTACATTATTGGTTATCAACAACACAGACAAATTTCCCAAGTAAATGAGCGAGATAAAAAATAATTTCTTTGATTTTCCAAAACATAAACATAAACATAGGCATTTGTATATTTAGATTACAATGTATATATTTTACAGTCAATTTTTCAATTTAATAGATTTTCAGATTTAGTGGCAAAAGTTCGTGAATCATATCCGATATCAGAGATAACACCAAAGGAACTTCATGACATGATTTCTAAAACACCTAAACCAATAATCCTCGATGTACGTGAGAAAGATGAACAATCGAGGGGAATTATACCGACGGCGATTCCCTTATCACGAGGAGTACTAGAGAGAGATGTTGAAAGAAAAGTTGTTAGCATAGATGAAGTTAATGTAGATAATGGAAGAAATATTATTGTTTATTGTGCAGGAGGTCTTAGAAGGTGAATGCTTTTTGAGTAGTTTATTGAGATTTGGATCGGATTTAGTTTTAGATTTGGGTTTAAGTTGCTGTTGTAATTGTGATTGTGATTATTGTGATTATTATTGAGATCGGTCATTTTATTTTTATTTTCTTAGTATTCTAGCAGCAGAAAGTTTAATTCGCTTGGGCTACAAGAAAGAAAATGTTAAAAGTTTAACTGGAGGCTATGATGAATGGAAAGAAGGTGGTTTTGAAGTTGCTGGTTATGATAGCTCACAAAAATCATAAATCAAATAAATCAATAACCAAACCTTTTTGAACTTTTGAGATTTTGCACATATTTTTTTTTTGTTTTTTTTTGTTTCAATAATATGTAATCACATTACCATATCATGTAATGAAGGGTGAAGCTATGTAAAAAAAACCTTTATTCACAAAAAAAATATCAAGATCAAAAATTATTTTTTTAGTCGATATAATAATAATAGTTGTAGTAATTGAATTTTCCCCCTTGTGGTGATAATAATAATAATAACATTAATATTAAAAATAATTTCTAGTAACAATAAAAATAGAGTAACACTAGAAAGATTGCGAAATATGAATCATGTTTTATTAATTAACACTAATATATATGGCCTTTTACGAAACTTCTTTCCTTGTTTGTATTTCTCTAGGCAAGATTATCAAATTTTTAAGCATTTTAAAATTTTTTGTGTTCACTCATAAAAATATTGATTCTAAACAATAAAACAAATCCAATGTTGAAATCTAATCCATTAATTTTATTAAATAAACAATTTAGTGTTCATTTTAGAGACAAAAAAATATATTTCTTTTTACACTAAAAAAAAGCAAATTTTGACGAATTGTTACAGATAAACATCATTGATCTAAATCTATTGATTCAATAAACAAATAAATATCGATTTTATGTTTATTTTTCAAAAAAAAAAAAAGTAAATTATAATAATAAAAATAATTGCAGATTTTAACATTTGATGTTTTAACAAATTACATTCATCTATTGATTCATGTTATTTATATCAACAACTACTATTATTGTTATTTTCTTTATTGCCAATATTCAATTGATATCTAAATTTAGTTGAAATCAACCAATTAGAATATGAATTGGGCGAAAAGATTAAACAAAACTAAAGCAAACTAAATACAAACATGACCTATTAATGAAAGATAAAGCTTGGCTCGCAAGGCAGCTTGTGGGGAGCTTTAATTAAAGAGATTGAAAAAGAAAATGGATTGACCATGGAAACAAATCAAAAAATGAAGCAGAGTAATTCAGAAATTGGAAATTGGAAATTAACCAACAAGGGGTAAAACAGAATGTGATGAGAACAGGAAAATCATGAGAATTTTATTAAACAATTGAAGGAAAGAAACGAGGACACAAGCCAATTACAGACAACAAGGATCAGAAGTTAAAATCTGAAAAGTGAAAAATAAAAAAGAGAGCAAGAAAAAAAGCAATCAGCAAATTAAAGAGCAATTAATGAGGATAAGGAAAACTATTATTCAATAGTTAACTGAGGAAAAAGTCAAGCAAAAGCTAAAGCCCAAACAACCAATTGAGCAAAAGTAGAATAAACTTAACATATTATTCTATTACTATATATATGGAGGGAGGATATTGATTAAACAAAAATAAAAATGGACTAGAGCTGTTGAACAATTTTGACTAGTTTGTTAAAATCCTGACCATATAAATATTCTTCTTGAAGTATTTGAAAAGAGCTTCTTTTTGTCTTTTGCTTTTATTTTGAAAAAAAAAAAAAATATAATAAAATCTAATTTCAATTCAAAATAATATTTTATCTATTACATACATAGTAATAGTAATAGATGGTTTGTATCACTTGAAAATGACCAAAACAAAAATTAAAAAAATACAAATTATCCAAAGCACTCTAGAAGGTACTTTAAAGAAAAAATTTTCTTATTCGTTTTATTTTATTGTTATAATATTGATAATAAATAATTAGTTCTATATTAATAATAATAATAAAATTTAGATAATTATAGTAATGAAGAAGTTGTAAATGATAATGATGACAATGATCTAACGATGTCAAATCATAATATATCTACCGACGATAATTACAATAGTGGAGATGATGACAATAACAGTCACAATATAACAGATCAAAGTGACGAGGGCTTTGCTTGCAAAACTCCGGGTTGTAACATGACCTTCAAAAATAGAATTAATCTTAGAAAACATAATTTAACTCATATTGGAAGATGCGAATATCCGGGATGTTTCAAAAGATTTGTTCATAAAGATGCATTACAAAGACATATGGAAGCTCACCTAAAAAAAAAAAAAGTTTTCAAATGTGAATATCCAGAATGTGCCAAATCATTTAAACTTGATGCACTATTACAAATACATATGAACCGTCATCTTGGAATTAAAAAATTTGAATGTGACATAGGTGGATGTAACAGAAAATTTGTCTCCAGAAATAACCTTGAAATGCATAAGAGACGTGGACACAGAGATATTTTTTATGATGTATTTATTTAATTAACTATTAAGCGTTAACTAATTATTTGCTTGCAAAAATAATCCATGAATAAAATTTTATCTGTATCAAAAATATTTAAATATTTAACATAGTAAACTATTAATTAATTAATAGATTAACGCATATCTTGAATTTCTTGTTCTTCGCCTTCTATATTATCATCATCAAAGTCCATGCTATTGTATGTTAAAATATTGCCATTATTAGTTCAAATAAACAAAGGCATTTCCACTTAAAAAAAAATTTTCCTCTTATTACATCCACAAGTAGTTGTTTGTCTGATATTATGATTTGTTGATCAAGCACCATGTCTGCTGTTTCTGTAGTTGTGGTGATGATAATATGTAGTTTGTGTAGTATTTACAATTGTACTATCATCATGATTATGATAATGATCATTATTACTATCATATTATCGAAATTGTAATCCGCGGTGATTGTTGTTATCTCAACCTATTTATTACTGTTAACATTTTACTTGCTGTTAATTAAAAATTTGTTCAATTCAGTAAAATTTAATGAGATCTTTGAATTTGCCTAAAATTATATTGACTCTCTTTTCATGTCCCTCTTTTCTTCTCCATATTCATTATCATCATCTCTTCTTCTCTTAATCCATTTTGTATATCTATAAAAAATAATTCCTATCAACAATAATAGTTATTGATAAAAAAAAATAATAACAATAACAATTAATTGCCAATATTTTATCTACTAAATCCATATAATCACCAAAAAAGTGATCATTTGGCAAATATTTCCTGACATAATCTTCATATGTTGGTTCTCTCAGTTTCATTAAATAATCACCATAAAATATGTTGTATTTTTGTTGTACAATTTCCAGGTTCAAGCTGGTAATATTTGCTCTTGTCCCTTTACTGCTTCATCTTGAATAACAAATAAATGGACTTTATGAGGACTAAGGTAATAAATCTTATTTGTTGATCAGAATGTGGTACATGAACATTTTGGTTCAATTATAAATATAATGAGCAGTAGCATCAACACTACAATACTGTGTTTTTTACCTTTGGATAATGTTGATCAACTAGCTTACTTTCTTCCACCAAATTGGTTTTTTATTATAATAATTTCTTTCTAATTTGCCTTGGACAGATGTTCTTAAATCTTTTGAGTAATTCTTTGGCTTCTTCCTCTTGACAAGCATTGTAATATAAATCTGTTCTGGGACTCATTATTTGAATTTATGGTGTCAGATGATATTCACAGTTTTCTGAATGCATCATACTTCAAGGATTTTGATTACTATCTTCCTCAATACCAGCAAGAAAATTTCTATACACTGATTTATAACTCATTTCTACTGGTAAGAATATAACTGATTGGGTCATTCTATTGATGATCCTTGGTAATCCATGAACTTTAGCATAATTTTTTTACCACACCAGCAACATCTTTGTCAACTACCGTCTTAGTTTTCCATTGGGACATTCTTTTAATTTTACCACATTAACCCTTGGTATAAGTCCATTGTTTATCATAGACAGTAAAAGGTTTTAAACACAAAACCGTAAAGAATCTAGAAATAAACAAAAACATAGAGAAATAATTTCATCTTTGACAAAAGAGCGAGTTTTACTATCCATAGGAGTGGGTATCAGGATGGAAAATGATATCTTTTATAATTTCTGTTCCTTTAGTTTTCACTCATGGAAATGCCCATTGGCAATCTCTTGGATTTTTACAATCCCAGGATTGAAAACTTCAAAAATAAATTTCACAACACCACCTAATATCTTAAAATAGACATCTATACTATTTAATGCCTTTTCCAGCATCATAACATCTTATTCGATTCAGCAGCAATAGATCTTTATACGACATATATAATTCGTTTTTTGGTAAAATTTTCAAAGCATCAAAACTCCGTGTTCAGATATAAACTCCGGTACTATTTATTTTGCGATTATTTGATTTTTCAAAGATTGATACCATTTATTTTGTTATCAAGTGCTTTAAAAATAATTGATTGATCTCATTCCACAAAAAGTTATTCATAAAATCGAAATTCACGTGAGTTATATATCAGCAAATAATAATTCAAGTCGCAGTTTTCACTCTTTGGATCTCAATCAAGGATGCAAGAGCCTTTTTTTCTGGTGCAGCAACTGAAAGTCAAAAAGAAATAGTTTACATTTATTATCTTTTAGGTGCAAGAAGAAAATGAAAGAAAGTGAGCAAATGATTTGTTGAGTGTTTGTTGATATGACAGCGCTGTGACGAATTGATCGATAATACATACAGTATGTGTAGCAGATAGAATTTTTTCTATGCGCTTTAAAGAATGTATGTTACTGTGGAAGCCATTGAACCAGTCAGGAACAAACAAACTGGAAAGGTTATGTGAGTAAGGGGAAAGAAGCTTATGACATGGGTAGAATTCTTAGATTTAGTTAATTG